CTTTGATTATAATAGACCTGCCCACGGTCCGGACTCGTGGTTTACTTTCGGTTGGGTTTAAACGGTATCAATTTTGCCTGGGATTGGTTAACGGGTACTCATTTCGTCACCCGAGACTAATTTATCCACTTCGTCCCCCGAGAGTCTCACAAAAACACTCTAAACCATTTATGAAATATACATAAGTCTCTATGACGAAATGAGTACCAATTAACCCACCAGTTAACCGGTCCAAGGGAAATTGAGACTAGCTAAACCAAACCGACGGTTAATCAATCAATCGTTAGTCCGGACCGTGGCCAAGACTGCATCAGACTAATGTATATTTCATAAATGGTTTAGAGTGTCTTTACGAGTGTTTAGTACTACATATGTCTTTCATCATAGAGTAGTTCACTACCTTCATAATGAAATCAATCAAGCTTTGATTGTCTTGAGCTAAGAGAGTAGGTTGAGCTGCCTCAATATGATTAGTAACTTATTGAACATTAATGTTACGATCAACCATAATGTTTTGGAACTGGTGAGAGTAATTACGTGTTAACTTTTACTCTTTGAGAACATTATTGCTGAATGGATAAGTCAAGATATATGAGCATCCAAAACTAATATTTTGCATCTCTGCAACAAGTTGGTTGCAAGCCCGTTAGGCAGCCGCAAATTTCAATTTCCAATTTCCATCCATCATTGACGTCGGTTGAACATTCAAACAACAACAACATGACCAACTCCATTATTGTTACCGATTTGAAATCATTCTCATCTCGCAGTACACAAGAAGAGTGAAAAGAGAACTCAAGTTGCTGAACTATAGTGACAATCTGAATTGTCAAGCCGTCAAAATTGCTTTGCTTAGTATTAGGTGTTTACAACTTTCAAAAGTTGGAGTGTCCAAGCTGGTACTCAAACTAAACACAATGTGAGATATTTACGTACGAATCATGGTGAAAATTAGATTTTTGAGTAGTTTCAAAATAACTACAAAGAGCACAAGATTAGTTGTCATCTCACCACAATTTATACTCCACAATAGAATGTTGTTTTTGATAGGCTCAATCAAACAATGTTGGAGATGATGCGTAGTATGTTGAGTCAATTTGGTGTAGCATATGAAATTTGGTGTGAAGCTATCAATACTACAATATATTTGATAAACTAGTGGTGTGAAGGATTATAGTATTTGAAATCCAACATGTAAGGTTATTATCAATCAAAATGTTTTTTTCAATAAATCCATATCATTAATTAAAAGAGGGGAATAATTTTCAGACTACTCATACTGACAAGGAAATATCTTCACTCACATATGTTGTTGAGGAAAAGTTTGATTATTATGAGATTCATAATGTGACACAAGGAGAATTTCTTGTATAGATGGAGCAATTTTCTAAGGAACATGAACTAAAGAGTTGGTATCCTAGGTGACTTCAAGTATCTAGACCAGACGATAAAGATCAACTAGAATTTTCTACAAGTAGATCATCAAATCGGATTAAAAAATCTCTTGTGAGCTATGGTTTATGGGTTGATTCATTAAATCTTGAAGATTGTGACATTGATCTAGAGGATGATGATGACCAGGCCTAAGTAATAGTCGCAATTGCGCTAAAAATGCCACCAAGTGTCACTATTAGTACTCGCCAGCGTGCCACTATTAAGGATTTGTGGGCCACTTCGTGAAGTGTCGTAGAACCACGATGGCATCGCGCACTATTGACTATTCAATATTTTGGCTTGTGCTGAGCTATGCATCCAAAGAAGCGGACTACACCATTCAAGATTGGCCGCGAGGTGACATACGGTCTACGAGTGAATGATGTTTATTCCAAGACGAATTTGGCATGTAGTGTTGTTTGCCGATTTTGCAAAAGTTTTGGGAGAGAGTAACAACCTGGAAGAAAAAGAAATGCAACGAGAAATTGCCAGTACTACACAAACTCCTTTAGGCCTGAGAGCTACCGCAAGCACAACGAGACACAACACACGTCCAATTGGAGGGAGTATCAAGCACTTGCGGATGACAAGAAAGGCAACTTCTTTGACGAAGTAGTGTCAATCAAGAGTACTCTTCTCAGCCACTTTGAAATGAAATCTGCATTGTCACTTTTCAAAATTGATGTGGCTATTGTCGACACGATCATTGACAGCATGTATTTTGATGTTGACAATGAGTCTGATTCAGTTGAGGAAGCCGACGAAGTGGAGGTCGTTCTCTGCAGAACTGATCACCGCCGTCCAAATATGACGCCTTCAAAAATCTAGAAGCGGGCTTTGAGTATCTTCGTTCTAATCCAAGATTCTTTTCCAGAGAATAATGAAAATGCTCATGTTGCTGTGTACAAAGTAGCGATCAAGAACGGCTTATTGTTTGACATTGTCGTTGAGTTTACTTCCCTTGGTTCATCGTTTCACCTCACTTCTCGGCTTGCTACTCTGGTTGCAACCGTTGCAAGGTCTCATTGTTCCTTCGAGTGTGATGTGCACATCGAACCTGCAGATGCTTTCTGACCTTCTTACAGATTGCTAGGCTTTCTCGCTGGCATTGGATGAGGCTACACACCAAAGCACATCCTATCTTGATATCCGGGTTCGCTTTTGGACCGGCGACGACATCCACAACTTTCACTTGTTGGCTCTGCCTATGAACAAGCGTCACACGAATCAATCAATGTTCGACACGGTCATGAAGGTGTTGGATGTGATTCGTTCAAGCTAGAGAGATTCCTTGATCGGCGTTGCAACTTATGGAGCAAGGAACATGAATAAATGACACGTCGGTCTACTGAACTTCTTGGACAATGCCACTAGGCCCAATTCTATCAGGGTCTGGTGTGGTGCACATCATCTTGACATCATCATGGCCGACGTCTATCAAAACTTGCTCCAAGACAATTTCTATTATGTTCTCGTGGTCCTTATTGGCTGCGACGCCAGCAGAATCTGATTGCTGAGATGAAGACGATATGCCCGAAGGTTGCCATTACACGTTGGCTTTTTATGATCAAGGTCATGACCTGGTTCAAGAAGCATATGATCATTGTTCATGCGTACTTGGACGAGAAGCTCTTGCCATGCCGGACATCTGCAGCCTGGTGGTTGCTTATGATGACAGTCCATTTTTTTGCACAAGAAGCGTCACTGGTGTTCATGCGTCTCTAGGGCATGACGACTTTGATGTTCTAGCAAGTGGTCGAGCCGTCTAACATATCATAGATGTTCTGCCGGTCGGTGGGGAACAAAGTACCATTGCTTCAGTCTAAGCTGCAAGCCATGGCATAGGCAGCAGTTGATTCTGATGGTTATGTCGCGACTGCAGACTTTGCAGCGACTCTTTTAAACGTTGGGCTATTCGTTTGGGGCCTTAGAACTTTTGCTAAGCTCGACAAGATTCCCGCCAAGAACAGGGCACGGCTCACGTTCTCCGACTCTTTCAAACGTTGAGCAATTCGTTTCGGGCCTTAGAACTTTTCGTGTTTGTTAACCTCGACGAGATTCCCTCCGAGAACAACGCACGGCTTCGCGTTCTCCGACTTGTTGGTTTTGCGTTTCTTTCAATGGCTTTGCAGCTTATGTCGATCACTGTCGAGCGAAACAGTGTCAATGAGCAAGCTTCTACCAATGATCAACTTCCATTGTTTATGCCGCAGGAGCTTGTTAAGTACAAGTGATTCTAGTTTTGTGCCACCGTTTGCAAGCGTATCTTATAATTGCAGGCATCCAAGTTTACACCGCAAAATATGAAGACATCGAAGAAGAACACGGAGAGCTTATTCGATGGTACCATGCAGAAGAAAACTTGAATTTAGCAATCGATGTCTGCGATCACAATACTTCGTTTAGGAACGGTTGGGATCTCATTGGATCGCGCTTCCCGGCTCTGTTTGAGTTTGCATGAGGCTTGGCTAGGATCTTTCCCAGCACTTCAACAATGGAGGCAAATTTTTCCAGGCGGAGGCATGAGAAATATATTTTCAAGCAGAGCCTTTTTGATTTCGGGCTCGAGTGTGTACTCCATGCCCATCAGCACAAAGTACTGTTGAAGATCACAACAAAAAACTAATGGTGTTGCTCTTTATATGGAGTTTGTATAGTGCCACTTTGATGCCACTAATAAAGATCTGGACATGCCACTATTACTCATGCCTGTATATAACATATCTAAATACTCCAGATAAAACAAAAAAAATCTTATCATAGTTTATGTTACTTCTAGATTTGTAATACTATTTTCTCTATATCAAATTATTTTTTGAATGTGATTAATTGCATAGTTTAATCTCCTCATGTTGATTTCATGTGATCTAAACAAAATATGGAGGTTATTTTTCTATTATCATTAAAATGTTTTTAACATATTCTTATATATGATTTAGTTGTCACAAGAGAATCAGAAAGTTTGATGTCTTGCGATTTGCTAAATTTCATATCTTTCGCTAAATACTCCTCAAGTATTTGTTTTGTTCATGAGTTCAAAAATTAAAATAGGTATCTATAATACAAATCTAATGCAATATAGCACTATTATATGTTTCCTATAAATTTAGTTTCTACGCGGAATTAAACGTGAAGTGAAGTGTAAAATTTTGGTATCATTTGTTAAAAAAATGACTTGAATGTCCCACGATAGGAATTACCCGTACAGTTAAGATTTGATGTTATCATAATATTAAATTGGAACAGTTGTTTGGAAATATATTCCACCGGTAAGAATAGCTAGTGTGCTCTACAGTAAAATACAACCATCCAAGTACTTCTCTTACCGAATGATGTGGCATAAATATTATGGTGTTATTTCGTTCGGAATGATTTGATACGATACTAGACATGTTCCAGTAGTACATGCAACTACATAGATGTCACCCGGCGTTTTCATCGCATATAAATTCACTTGGTTCAAAACAATTTTGACCCTGACCATGGCTTATTTGAGTTACAGAGTGTCCACCACAAACTGATATGAAATTACTTCGAAGTCGGAACTGTTGGAAAATACTTCCTCAAATTGTACATGTATAATTGCATTCCCATCGTTCTCTACTAGTTCGTTGCGCACAACCTTGAGCTGCAATTTTCATGCTAGGTTTCATCAAGCGTGGATGTGAAGATATGCTTCACTAAAACGATTCCTCCAATACAACCCTTCTTAAATATGGTGGCAAAGTACATCATCAATTGGGGGAGGGACACAGTAGAAGTGTGAATGCTTGGTGAGCCAGAGTCCTTGCTTCCGGATGCCTCCGCATCTCAGTCGAAGGAGCACAATCTTGAAAAACTAAATATGGTACATGCAATTGGAGACACTTGAATTGCGATGCGGCTTTTGATATTTTGAGAACTTGGCCTGCTGTGGCGGCCTGAGTCCAGATACTTACATGATTACAACGTGGATAACACTACTGTAGGTCAAAAATGTAGAGCTCTGTAGCTCCTTCAAAGGATCCTCAAAGAATGTCCTCCACATTCAAAGAGCTGTTCTCTTCCTAGAAGAGTTCATATACGGTCGTATGACCCACTCGTTCTGTGCTTCGGCTTGATCCATAGTTCCTAATTTTATCTGTCATACCAAGCAGACACGAAAATTAAATTTTTTTAACATGTAACAGAAAATGATGCAGTTGTTTCTAAGCCAAGATAAATATACCATATTCACTGGAGTCAAAGTAAATACCTGATACAATCGTAATTCGAATCTGGGACCGACTTCTTTGAGTTCAATAGACTTCACACCGGCTGGCTTTTCATAAACATGATGTCTGGCAGCAAATGCAAGGTTAGCATTAAGTCCATCTGTGTCAAGAGTGGCAAAATGTCGAGCCAATATGAACTTGACATTGACGACCTCGTTAATTCGAGTATCGCGAAACATCTCTTCTATGAACTTGCAGAAACCAGCCTTAAAAAAAAAAGGATCAGCAATACTTCAGTGATATTTGGAAGGAAGTGCGTGCTGTCCATAGGTTTTGTAGAAAGAAGACGCAACGAACCTGAAAGAGATGTAGTCGGCCGAATTGGCCATAGTAATAATTCGTTTGGTATCCGCCTTCGGTTCTGGAAATAAGTATTTCAGAATGTTCGCTGTTCGTTGTCCAAGCTGCTCACAGACAATGCGTAAAGCGTCGAATTAGAACTTTCAACCTCCCGTGTTGACCGCAATGTATCCAACGACGAACTTTGATCAGTTCATCAGCAGAAAGTGTTGTAGGGCACAATCGCATTCGTCACACCATACCCGGGTTGCATATAATACCTGAAAAGTCGATGAATCCAAGTGCATTCTTCGCATATACAAGATGCGGCAAATAAGATGAACTCAAACTCGTAACGCCTACGCTGATCATACACTTGGTGTATGCGTTACTTATGAAGATCTTCCTAATATGAAGGAAAGATATGTGATGGAATTTCTGTCTCCGTTCATGGTCCGAACATACACGACAGATAAATCGATTACCTTGGTGGAAAAGTTTTCCAAAATTAGATGAGGGTACGCTTCGGACATCGTTCCTAGAGTTTGCTTGTCCTTGATGTCATGTCTTGTCACCTGATTCAACAGAAAACAGTCTCTTCATCGTATTTCAAAAAAGCTATACGGTCCTAACAAGAGAAGCTGTGACCTGAGAACAGAAGCTGAGATGTATGCAGTAGGACCAATTATTCAAAGATACATACCACATTGAGTAGCCCAAAGTAAGCAGTTGGCCCAAAGGGTAGATGACACACGATTAGGCCGTCAGGCTCTCCACGATGTTCGTGGACCATTATAATATCCGTAAAATCATGTGAACGGCATGACTCCACAATCTCAGATATAACCTGCACATGGACAGAAATGTATTTTATATACTTATTGGATACTGGAAGTCAAAACTCCACTCCACCCATAGCGCCTGCACAATGTACCTTTTACACTCTGCATTAGCATTGTGCATGAGCAAGCAAGGCTATGGAATCTGTGTAATCTAAAAATTTAAAATGTGTGCTTCAAGGCCTGCCATAATTGCAAAAATCCCTATATGTAAGGAGCTCCCCAAATTCCACTTAACACTAAATAGACTACCTGAGGACGACGGGTATGTAAGAGCTTTTGAAAAACACTAATAGTTACGCAACGAGACAAGGGGACAAAGAAGTATCTGTCCGAGAAAAACGGGTATCTTGACCTGCTGAGGTTTTCTTCGGCCGTCGATAACATAAGCCTCAAACAATTGCGGTATACCTATGATTTGCAGCTACCCGGCGTAATTTTAATTGATATAACGTATCAGCGGAGCAGGCGAATGGTGGTTACGACAACGTGCCTCCCTAACTCCTTTCATCATGCATACGCAAACAACTGGAGAGAAAACTCCTGTAACTGTATTACATATGACCACTATAATAGAGAGGTTCCAAAACTAAATCTGTGAAACGCATGGTACAACCCAAAATTCTAGGTGTTCCTTTTGACTGATATCTCACTTGTATTCTAAGCCTTTGCGGGGCAGCCAGCCAGGCATGTACTCCGTTGTCAGTTTTTCGCATTGTTAATGATCTGTTTACTAACCTGGCCTCCACGATTGATACGTTGAGCATTGGGGAACACAATTTTTAATTCCTGCACAGAGTAGAACGATTCGACTGATTGAGAAATCGAAAAGCTAAAATTCGTACACAGGAATCACTGTTAGAAACTGCGCAAGGATCCGCAGAGTCTAGACTCACGATTTCTACACTGAGTTTTCTAAACCCGTTTTTCAGTATCAAATTTAAAAGCTCAATCGACAAATACTTTACAAATAGCTTTACCTTGACAAACTGCGTTAATCTGCTACTCGGATCCCTAGAAGTAGTCAACAGTATCTTCGGGTCCTTCTCATCAGCATGCGCATACTCGTCGTCAATATGAGTTCGAAGTTCTGCGTACGATAAGGAAGGATAAGTACTGTATACGAATACGTACAAGCTCTCTTCGAAGATGTGTCAAAGACTATAGGCCGAAGGTTGTACCCGCAGAAACTACAACAATCCAAGGACCATTGGCAGCTTGCTGCGAACTGCATGGACCCCTTACAAATTCGCACAACTTAGGGTTTTGCTGCCAGCGATTGGCTCTAAATGCATCGGTTGATTGGAACAAATACTGTAATCAGTAGAGAGGCAGTTTTCACTGCTAATCTTGCTAACAGTCAACTTGAAAAAGGAGAGATGAAAAAAGAAGGGAGTGCAGATGCCAACCATCTTAATATTAAAAAGCAGCGAAGTGAGAAGCATGCTCGATAGCAAGTAATACTTAGAAATATAGAAGGCAGATACAGTTCTCAACGCATTGCATGAGAATATGATGGACTGATCGTCTATCCTTCGAAGCATTCCCGTACCTGCTGTGTTATCATCTTCAAGATCGATTTCTTCTCGAAGAGCTGCCTCTTCATTTCTCAGTTCGGTCGGTATAGGCTTTCCCTCTGTGTGTATGCACAAGTACAACATGCTTCAGTACCTCTTCACTCTTGGGTAACTGAAACAAGAAAAATCTCTGAACGTACTCTTCAAGGAGTAAATGGCTCTCTGACCAAAATTTGACCAAGAAAGCATACTGTATTTCTTCTGTTTGTGAAAAGGAACTTTAGCAAGTAAGCAATGGCATTCGTGATCTTGTCCAGCATTTCCACTAGGTGTTTCATTTGTGATTCAGCGGATACTGTCACGGTTTACAAGCTACCTGACATTACGACTTCCTAACAAATAAGTAACTAAAGAAATCGTTGGGCTTCTAGAGTGAAAAGAACAATCACACTGAAAACAGATTTCCACTAACACTCATTAACAGCCAAAGTTTTTTAAACAATGCATGGTCCCGACAAGAAGAGTATGTGGAGAGGATTTGGGTGACACTGAAATCTAGACTGACCTAATCAATATCCACGAACTGCATCATCGTAAGGGTGAGACAGGAAGTGCGTACAGGACTGAAAGCCTGAGGATGCACTTTTAGGTCCTACTCAGTCATCTTAACATTTGGACAATTTGAACTTTCATGAGTGCAAAGAATCGATTCGCTTGAAGGCGAAAACTAACATACAGTAAGCATGAGGCGAAGAATGAGTGGACAAGTTTCCCCAAGGTGGACTAAATGCACACAGATAATAACTGCGGTGATGAAAAAGCACAAGTGCATCAGCCAAAACATTGTCGAACCATTTCTCCAATCTAAGGACAGGTTCTAAATCCGAAAGAATAGTGCTTTCCATCCTGTGCTTTCGACTGCAGCAAACGACACGGTGTGCAATATCGCAGCAAGGCCAGTGAACAAAATTCATCGGTAATCAGCCGTGAGAAATGTTGTGGGCAAAATCTCCTTCATTGCAATATCTGGTCAATTGCTTGGAATTTGGGGTGGAAACTACATTCGGGGAGGACGAATTGCAGTGATGAACAACAAGAAATCGACACATGAGCAATCGAAAACTTCTAAAGACCCCACCTTCGAGAGCAAGTCTGATCTTGCGCTTTTTCTCATAGAGAGTGCGTTCTTTGCCCTCTAAGCTTTTACGGTACAAGTACTCCCTCCGCAACCTCGTCGTCCGCCGTATCATTTCTCCCAATCGCTTCTGTCAAATCTTCAAATTGTTAATTCCCGAAAGCACCTTGCCCTCTCGATTGTGAGAATCCAGCTCGCTCGCTCGCACGCAAGCACGGTCGCTCCGTCGAAATCAGCCCTCCCGTCGAAATCACGCCCACTAGGGTTCAGGGTTTAGGGCCAGACCGCAGATCGTCTTCCGAACCCTTTCCCGTCTAAGGAGAATAATAATCTTCGCCCATTTCACTTCCTTCAAGTAATTAACAATCATCTTTCGACCTTTTAGAGCTTATTTGATCCCAAAGTGGCTAATGGTATCACGTGGCTCTGAATATTTCTGCAGTCTCATGCCTTATCACCCACTACAGACTATGGACTTTTTCTTGACATATAGTTGTAAGCTATCAAACTCCTCCTTAGGTTTTAGCAGCTTCTATCACATAAAAAACTTTGAAGTGATATGAAATGAAAATGACACAAAATCCTCTTTCTAAACTGATTGATATGGTTGATGATCTGATTACCAGATTACTGAAGTTTTCTGCGAAGTGTATGTACACAGCATCGGTGGTTTAAGGTGAATAGTTTACAATAGTGGATTTGAGTGAAGTTTGAAAAATAAAATTGACCAAGAAAGACCAGAACATTTTTTTAGCATATATGAATTTTAATTATAATATCACTATATCCATACAATATGACTTTGTAAAAATCATGCCATGATTCCAAAATTGATTTTACAAGAATTGGAGTTGTCACAATAAAAATAAACTTTATATTCTTTTCCATCATATATATGTTAAATCTATATGATAAGAGTATAATTAAACATGTAAATCTTCATGTTATCTTGAAAGCCTCAATTGAATATTACAGAACTATTATTTGAATCTGGTAACATGAAGACATTGAAATTTAAATTTTGACTTAGAAAATCGATTCAATGTCTTCAAAAAATTCTGAAAACCAACTAGTATTTTAGACGTAAATTCTTAATGAGTTTTTTTTTGTCAAAATACTAAAATCAAAGTTTAATGCAACATGTTTACTTAAAACAGATGTTATTATCAATATTTTTTTCATCAACTTGATTGCATAAACGTTCGATTTCTCTTATTCGAAACAAGTCTCCAAATTATTCAAATATAAGAAGTATGAAATCATTAATAAATCATTGTTTCAAGTATTCGATAATATCTTTTAACAATGACAATAGAAAATTTCACTTGGAAGAGGACTTGTGATAATATTTTAAGGAAAGCTTTTATTTACCGAAGCGTAGAGGAAAAAACTCTCTGCAATCATTAAATAAACGAGAAATTTGCTTGATGGGACCCCATCAGAACCTTGACTGCTTGATGGTACCCAATAAGTTCCATTTTACCCGATGGGACGACTCCGACGGTTCACCGTCAGTTATGTTCTTGTAACTGATTTGTTTCCACTTCAATGAAAAATAATAATTTCTTCCCGAATTTAAGTTAGTCAGATTTTCCATGGCTCCCAATCTTCATCGGGGAAGAGCCCAATTTCTCACGTCCCATAATGATTTTCCAGTTATAATCATAATCTACTCACTGCTTACTTTTTTTTTCTAAAACTCTTGGTCGAAATCATGTTAGTTGCGTATTTGGTCCGTGAAGTGCATTTCACTTTTCAACAAAGAGCCTCAGTGCTTTTCCTAACCCGGATTGTAAGGAATTACAAGAACTCGCAGTAGAACATCGGTGACGGTGGACTGAATTGCCGTCGGAAGGGTACCATCGGGTAAAATGGAACTTCAAGGGTCCCATCAAGCAGTCAATGTTCTGATGGGTCCCATCAAGCAAATTTCTCTTAAAAAAACTGTCCAGCAGTTTATTTATTGAATGCAAACCATAATCAAGCTTAATATGACATTGTACATCTTCATCACAATGAAACAATTTAGACATGTAACATGATCTACAATAATCGTGTAGGATATTGTGGTTTATGTTAGTACAAGTAGCCGGCTGGATGTATATATTTAAAAAAATTAAGGAATATTTTAATAAAATATTGTATGCAGTGAATTTGAAGCCTTGAAAAGAAATGATCCCATACTTTAAATTCCTTAAAAAATTGAAGTCTGAAGGAAATTTTGTTACCTTTGAAGAGTATCACCTAAACATGATAAGTTTTTTTATAGTATTTAAACATAAGTGTTATCAGAACATGGTTTAAATCATCCCTTTGTGAGATTGGTGAACTTTACAACATAAATAGCAAGTAATATAAACCAGATTATCTAACCACTAATCTGCAATCCAAGACCCATTTATTGGTTAGTGGAAGTAGTATGCAACATTGCAAGGACAAATCATTGGCTGTTCCCTTGTGTGAGTCAAAAAAACCCGAAATTAGCTTAACCCCTACATTCCCATTAAAAATAAATTACATTGTGTAGCTTATTTAAGGTATTAACATTCAATTTTTCTAATTATATCATTTGCTAATTCTATTCACAAATGTTCAATTATTCAAAGTCAACATCTTAAATTCCTGTTTCTTTTAATAATTCTATCTTTAAATTTCATCTGTAAGAGTTGACGTACACACATCTCGACACTGTCAGAATTAACATTTATTTACCTTATTTCCCTCTAAGTCTTACGAAGTATTCTCATAGTTTATATATATATATCTCTTTAATCCAAACTTCACCCCTAGGTGTTGATAGTGCAAGAGTTGGAGGAATGCTTGAGCAATATCACCGATATTCAGTATAGAGTTATGTAAGTATACATTCGTAGGCTAATCCTGGACCAAGAATTGGCCTTCCCGCGTTATCGTGCTTGATAGTCTTCCTGACAGGGATCCCCTAGAGCCTATTCTCGACTGACCGTATGCACTTGAACTGCTTACATGTTTTTTAGATGAATGTAAATGTTCTATGTCCAGTTGGCGATGCTAGTCTACTAGAGTACTATTATCGACGTTACGTTGTCAGTACTCATTCCAAGAGGATGGGAAGGACTCATCTACAAGATCGAGGGATGAAAGTAAACTTGTTCCGTGATCGTGCCAACATCCGAGCTTCGGCACTTCACTTGCCATGGCTGCAGATGCTCTGAAAAGTAATACTATTCCGGGATTGGATTCCAGTTGCACGTTTCCTTTCCATAAATCAGACCAAAGTCGGGGTTAACATAGAACTCGTATTCATCAGATGGACTGATGTCATGAGCTTTGACAGTCCATCACGATAAAAGCACTTACAGCATTCTCTGTACATTGTGCAATCGCGGTAAAAGCATCCGACATCCACAGCAAGTTAGTTCTTCCGTAGCTGACAAAGTTCCATATCAGTGACCTCAAGCTCGGTTTTCAGTCTCACACGATGAAGACCATCCTTTCTACGTGACCTGGACCACAATTTTTATCCATGGATCTATGTATTGTGAGCTGGTTGTACTTTTCTGCGGGTCGAAGGTATGCTGCTGAAATCAAAATCAGTGGGAAGATAAGAGTAGTCGTCTCGTGCGTCACAAGTGCTCGGTACACAGCATGGGATTCCTGTTTGCCTCTTTACTTCTTTGCCTCTTTCCACACGCACTTCAGACTTTCCGATGGTTGCAAGGATACATTCTTTGCCATTGGAGGAGAAAAATTTCCCAAAGCAGAAACCACTTCCACTAACCACCGTGCGAACGGTTCATCAACAGTCCCGAAGTTTCCTTGAAGTCACGAGCATGATTTCCTGCCATAGGTGCTTTCCGCCGATAATACCTCTGAATCGACCAGCCAAGAGATCACCAGGCTGTCAGTTTCAGATCTGCAAGACACTTTTGTCTCCGTGCTTTGTACTTAGGAAAAGCAGTTTCAGGAGACATTCCACAAAGTTGGGAAGGGCAGACGACGAAAACAGTAAGTTGGGTGGAAAACCACGTAATGGAGATTTTACGCTCTTCCGTCTCACTTTGCCCAAAGTATCCACTAGCCATGTGAGACTTTGTGAATTCAAGTGTTGTTCTTCACACCTCCTTTAATGTAGAGAGAACAGGAACCGGAATATGGACTCCAACGCACTGACAACGGGGATGGAAGAGGGTCGATTGCCCTTTCAGGAGCAGAAGAGCTTTAAGACAAAAGATCGACGAAAGCTCAAGCCGAAGCAACACCTTAACAACGCAGTCAGAAAAATTGTCGCGAACGCAGTTGAAAGTCTCCTCGACACTCCACCTCAACTTCACATAAGAGTGCAAGACATGCAAAGCAGAAACCTTGAGTGAAGACGAGAATTTAGTATGTGTATGACGGCTACTCAAAACCCAAGTAGGCCTTTGATCCGTCTTGATCACAAATGAAGGAAAAGCAAGGTCCCGCGCTCCGAAGATTCAAGGACCGGTTACTCATACACATGACAACGAGAGATAAATTGTAAAGGATGCAAGAACACACTCTCATGAGAATCTTTGATCTCCCTCCAGGGGAGTGAACGACGCACGAATGGAGAAAATTATTTCATGGAAGTCTGTCCAGAACATATACTTTCACTTATTGTACACAGATGTCTCCGTACATCGTAATACAAATATCTTAAGAGCTGAGAATTTGCCCACCACATCACCGGCACACTTGAAAATTCCAAAATTCTGCTAGTGCTCTAAAGTTGCATCGTAGTTTGTTCCTACTGCATACATCTGTCGAATCAAACCTAAATAACCTGTGATGCTTCTCCACGAAGAACAATTGCTTTGCTATACATCTAGCTCAGAAAAGCTGTGTAATGGAGCCTGGAAACAATTTCCTGATTCCTTCAGGAAAACAGTTGCAGTCAACCAATTCTGCACCGGCTTTCGTGTACATAACATTGTCTTGTTGGTGGGAGAAAGGATCTGGCAATGGCGCCCCAGTCAGTTGATTGGGGTTGTCATTTGGATGTGTCATTGAGTCATTGACAAGAAAATTGCTGCTGCCAGTCAGGATTTGGAGACCTCAATCAGCTGAGTAAATCATCTTCTTTAAGAGATGACTGTAAGGATTATGGTGAAAATGGGATGTCCCATTCATGACTGAGAATAATAGAGCTGGACAGGCAAGAGTGACGATTTAACACAGAGATTGTGAGGGCGACTTCTTGCACGACCTAGCGGGATAAAGGATCGACTGTTATGTAAAATATACTCTCTTGACGGGAAAGAATGAAGCATGTGAAGTTGTATGACCGGACTACGTATCTTCCATGGTATCGAGCCCAGTGATGTGCATCTCGCAGCTGGCATCCACGGAGCCGGCATCGGTACCCTTGTTTACAGACGAAGGTTTGACGACAATGACTGGACACGCCGAGTTTTGAGCGCAGTAGTCACTAACGCTGCCAAGCAATACCCTCCGCACAACACTGTCCAATCAGCCAACAATTGAATGTCAGTCATTCCGCACATTACGTCAAGCGTTTGCCTCGGGTCTGACCTCAAACGCTCATCTACTGATTTGTACTCACTCATCTCAGGTCCCCATCTCAAAACTCCAGAAATCTTCCAGATCTCCTCGACAGAGACGAGGGGAACCAGTTTCCACGAGTAATACTACAGGGAAACCTGCTGTACAGAGAAGGAAAAGTCTTTCGAGACTCGGGCATCGATTTTTGTGCATGAACGAGTGGCAAAAGCTCCCAAAGCAATCTCGTTTGCGGAAACACGCTGAGTAGTCGAGACCCACCTTGTAACGCAGTTGAGGCCTCTGCTCCCGACAATGAGCACATCGGCACACACCCACAGGACCTCCTTGCAGATTTCTTCACGTTCGTCTCCAACTACCGTCCTGCCTCTGCAAATTAACTGACAACATAAAGCCGCGGGTGAGACTGGGAGCATACAGTCGAACAGCCCAGCAATTTCCATGCAGCAAGAAAAGTTCTAACAGGCCCTTGACGTTGGAGCAGATGTTAAACCTTGGCTTGACTGGCACGCTCGATGTACTTTTGCAAAAGAGCAGCAGCTCCTGCCTCCGCTTCTTGTTCTACTCGTGCAGCAACGTCGCCTGGAAGTCGCCATTGACCGATGTCTACAAACAGCAGATCACAGGATGATGAGAAAGAGCAAGAGGCCGACCTAGATCCAATCTACCGACACCGACGGATCTCCCACTCCTCACAAGAAGGAGATCTACTAAAAGTATGTAGGACATTCAAGGACACATGACTAGATGAATCACCCAGGGCGGGAAGGGCTGGGTCTGAGGGGCTGAGCCAACCATCTATGGTGCGTCGCACGTAGAGTAGATGCACGATATCGTTTGCCTTGCAATAGTTCTTCACCGCCCAGTCGAAAGCGAATTCTGCGCCTGCACAAGTTCCACGATGGAGAAAGCATATTCAGCGCCTTGAACCTTTTGATAGAGAAGCATTCTGGAGGCCAAATATTTCCACGAAATCCTGTCTTCCTAATCGTATGAGACAAACGAGTTCTTGATCACAAGCCCTCACTGTACGACGGCCAGAGAGCCTCAGTTCTCATGTGCAAGCCAGACGCCCTGAAAATCGAAATTCTCGCATAGCTCTGGCGCACATTCGAGGACAAAATCGCAAGCTTTAAATTTAAAACTCAGATTTCTCACAGTCGATCCTGATCGACATGTAGGACTGTTGTTCGGCTCGCTCTGGCTCTCCAATATCCCGTTTCCAAGATCAGATAATTCGCCAAAAAGACCAAAAACTGCTCCTTAGAGCCTCAAGAATTCCTTGTGACAGAAGTATGTCACTCTCGGTTTGCGATCAGATTTCACGAAGAGGAAGGGGCTCCACTTCCCATGGACAATGCCGACAGCTGGGAATTAAAGAGACTCCAACTGAAATCTTCGACCCGCCAAGACGCGGCCAAATCATCAGGCACATGAGAAGGCGTGGAAGCACAATCGATCGGTACTGTCAAAGTTATCGCAAATGCTGAACGAGTTATCGACGCAATTCGGCGAGGAATTGGCACAACGTAAGCATTCGCGCCAGCGACGACACCGAATCCCGGTCGAGCGAGGGGCCCCGAAACAAAACCGGATCGAAAATGACGAGAAGGACGAAAAAGTACCCGGACTTTGGTCGAGCGCGATGAGGACAGTGCGTGGTTCTCCTAGTAGAGCGTCCATTGTTCGCCGGCAATTCCAAACCCCTGTAGTTTTATTAGCTCACTTCCTCGACGACGTCCTGTCCTGCGCCGTAGCCAATCGCTGTGGATACCACCACGCCAGCTCCGCAGATTTTGATCCCGCACGCTAAAGCACTTTCCTCAGCTTTCCGTGCGCCAGTCCCTTCCTAAAATAATGCGCTGGGAATCGGCACTGTTCCGCTCCACCTTCTGCGTCCGGCCTTTGTTGCGACCAGAGAAGGCACAGCCCTTCCTGGCCCTTCCTGCGCTTCCTCGCCCTGCTCACCTCCACCCCCTCCCCTCCCCTCCCTCCTCTCTCTCCTCACTGCTAGGCCCTGATCCCTCCCTCCCCTCCCCTCCCCTCCCCTCAATCCCTGCCTTTCTCTCTCTTTCTCTCTCCCCCTCTCCCTCGATACACTCACTACTCTACGGCAATCCCCAGCAGCAGAAGCAGAAGAAACAAGAAAGAGAAAGAGAAAGAGGAGGAGGAGAAGAAGCAGAAGAAGAGAAGAAGCTGAAGCTGCTCACAGGAAGAAGAAGAAGAAGAAGGATGACTGTGCACTGTCAGTAAGGCAAGTCTGTACAGGATGCATCTAGGTTTCTCCTTCTACGCCAATTGTACGCCCTTGGCACTTTCCATCAAGTAAAGCGCAGGTGGGTCTCGTCGCCACAAAGGTGCTTTCATTGCTCGCTCACTCATGGCGTCATCTCTTCTGTCGTCCCAGCACCTCGGACGTACAGCGTTTTCTCTGTACCCAACGCGACGCCTCTCGGGCCTCGGCTGCGCCTGTCCCCGGTCGGTCGGTCGGTCGGTCGATCAGTCGGGCGAGAGCGGGAGCGGGACGCGAGGGTAGGGATTCGGGACGGGGAATCGAGGCGAGGAGGTGTGATGCTATGGGGATTGAAGGGAGATGGGCAGAGGGCGAAGGTCAGTAAAGAAATACGTGCCGAGAATATACTTTCGGGTCGAGCACGGCTCAGGGTCTTCGTCGGGCGGTCAGGGCATCAAACTCCTCCGACGGCCGAGTCATGAGCACAATCGCAGAAGCGGGTGATTCTCGTGAAAAACATGCTCTTCTGTTCTCTCCGCTCGAAGTAAATGCGCCGCGACGAAAGTGGAAAAAGAGTGGAGAGAGAATGTCTGCCCGATGCGGTGAACTTCCTCCCCTCCCACTACCAAGACCTACAGTATCCTCTGCTCGTTTCGCAGTTACCCGTCGTCGTCGCCCTCTCTTGTCCTGGCCTCGATAGATAATCGATTAAATTGGTCCTCAAATCCCAAGAAATCCTTTTTATATTTCACGTTGCCCGGCTCTGCCATTCTTCGCTTTACCCTCGACCATCTTCTAGATGTTAACCTGCGCTTTACCCTCGACCATCTTCTTCTACGTGTTAACCAGCGCGCTTTTCTTGCGCGCTTTTCTTTCACTTGGGTGACCGAGAGCTTCCATACACTTCTCTCTCTTGTTCTTTACGCGGAGTTGTAGGGAGGGAGGAGTGCGGAAGGTCCCGAGGCAAAAATAAGTGGGCAGATGAGGTGAACGAAGAGGTTTCAGGAGGTTTAATTGTGGTAACAGCACGAATGGCAGACACAGTCCGCATTAGTAGTGGAAAAGCGCGAACTCGGTCACCGATCGTGCTCCGTAGACCGGCGTCATGTCTCTTGTCAACAGCAGAGACCAAATTCCGAGACTCTGACACCGGCCAGGCCCGCCCCGCCTCGCCTCGCCTCGCAAAGCTTTCCCGTCCGAAAGAGGCTGGAAATCCTTCTTTCCACGATTCCGTGCACCACTCGATACTCGACGCTCGACGCCCGCCATAGCCGAGGAATTACGGTCCGCCCGTCCGCACTCGGCCCGGCGACACTCGATCCCTCGCCGATCTCGATGCCCCTCCACTCTTTCGATCGGTCCCGGGTCGCGCACGCGGCACACCGTCGCGCGGCAATCGCGACGTTCATTGAATTTCGCCCTTCGCGCCTTTCTCCCGGACCCTCGGCCTCGGCCTCGGCCGTCGTCTCACGGAGGAGCGAGATTCCCTCCCTCTCTCCTTCCCTCCCTCCTTCCGTGACCGAGAAGATCGCGACTCTGCGACGACGCGGATGCCAGTCGGCGATTCGGCGCCGAGATGCATCGAATATTCCACGAGCGGCCGCGGCTCCGGCTTCGGCTTCGTCCCGGCAGCGAGAGATTCCCGCTCCGCCCGGAGGACGCTCGACGGCGTCTGTCTCCGCGCCCGCGCGACAGCTGGCGGGCCCCTACGCCCGCCACCTGCGCAAGAACGGCGCGTCTCCGAGAGGTGGCGCCATATTTGAGGGGCGGAGAAGAGCCGCTGCGAACGCGTGACGCCCCGCTAGCGTCATCTCCCGCGGATTCTGTTCCTCGACAAGGACCGAAATTGCTCTTCACGGCGAAGAAGGACGAACGAAAGAACGAACGAGAGAGAGAGATGGGAAGGAAGGGAAAGCAGCAACATCATCATCATCACCATCATATTTATCGAAGAGGACATAAAGAGGCTGCACACACACCTACCCCAAGTGTATGGGACGAGGAGCTTTACCTGAAATCAATTCACGGATGTTTCCTACACGTGTCGGATCGGGCAACAGTGCGGATCAAATCTCTCTCCGGCCTGGGAAGAAGAAAAGTCCGGGACCGTGAACGAGCGAAGGGAACGAGCGAATTAATTTGCGAGGGCACTTATTGTGGGTCTTATGATGATACAGCGGCCCAGTGATGGCGTTTTAGCGCAGGGCAGGAGCTTACGCGAGCACGGGCCGCTGCTAATGGTGGCAGCGGGGTGCTTACGTCGGAAGCACAATTGTTGTATCTGATTGCCATGAATCGCCCCAGATTGTAAAGGTAGGGCAATCAACGCTCTAGGTTGAGTCATGGCTGATGTATGCTCCAGAGTTCGCGAAGACGAATATCTTGGACCTCGCGCCCTATTTCGTGCCCCTCCATAGGATGGATAGGCGCATGATGTCTGACACATCTGTCTGCCTTGGAGTTTATTACAAAGCCGGCGAATCCTGGTTGATTTTCCTTCCCCACTTGCTCGAGATAAATCCGTGTCACTGCTTCTTCTTTTCCTCTCCTTGGGCTCATGACAATTTCTCCAATAGAATATTCATTATTCCGGTCGTCTTTCCCGAGCGCTCTCTGTCTTTCTCTTTCTCTCTCTCTCTCTCTTCGCCCTGCGCCGTACCCAACAGCAGCTAGGAATAATCCTCGACACGAGTTTAGCCCGAGGCCCCATTGTCCTTTCGGTCTCGGAACACGACAACGACTCTTGTCGATGGATGTGGGGCATCATTGCGATCTGCTGCAATTTTGGCAGCAGAACAGTGACGAGAATTATAAAAAACTCGGCCACGCAAAATTTCACCCAAAAGCTGCATGTTATCCCTTAGGGGCCCGACTAGGCTACAGACGTGCACTCTACCAGAGTTGAGGTCAGGCACCGTGGGCGTCACTTTGAGTGCAGAATATTCTGTTCTCGGTCGACCCATCACAGCCAGATGTGGGGATTATTCTCACCCGCCTGGGGGATCCTGGCAGTTGGGAGGTTGCCGCGACACACACGAGCCTTTGTCGAGTGTCTGTCGATTCATCGATGTGGATCAGTAGGCATCAGGACTGCGAGATCGATCAGGACTGACTGTCCAGTGGTACGCAATTATCCAGAGCTAATCGCTTGAGCATTTTAGCAGGACTGTCGAACGAACTGGACGAGTGTACTCTCGTTTCGGGGACATACATCGTTACACCGACAATTGTTTGCCAGCCATTCTTCCTTCTGAGATCATAGGCTGGCAGCTTTTTTCGACAAGCGTGCCTCTCGTGCTGGTAGTAACAAACACTCTGCTGAAAGAGCGACTAGGAATGCAAACCAGTTATCGAAAACTGTCATGCAGTGTTGCATGCTGCCGTTGCTTTCAGACTGGTCACCCTGAGTCCATCGACGATTGGTTATTCTGCTTTTGCATTCTTCAAGAACACTTGTGATCAAACATCCAGTTCAGTACAGTACAGTGAATTCTACAAGCAGATCCTTTCAGTGCCTGCAGTCAAGTTCATTGAAGGTCAGTCGCCCCGCTGTCTTGCCTTCTTTCCATGTACCAGGAGGGGATACCCAACAGTAGAAGGGGAATGTGGACGTAGGAACGAATGTAGTAGAAGGGGACTTGTACAGTAGAAGGAAGTTGAGAACATGGAAATGAATATAGTAGAATGTATGTACGGCTTGATGGGGTCTTCCCATCCTTTTCGTTCTTTCCCTGTGTTCTTCCCAAAAAATAAAGAATATAATAGAAGGTATTGTGAACAGGGGGGACTCAAACAGTGGAAGGGGATTGTGAATAGGCGAACGAACTGTTCAGTGAGCAGAAAGGAAAAGGAAATGCTTTCAGTTGACCAGCATCGCATAATGTGCCTTCTCTAGTGCCACTCCCCCAGCCACAAAAAAGTTTATGGCAGTGAACGAGTCCCGATAGCCAGGGACAGGTGACCACGGACGAGCCTCGTTGTGTATTGAAGATGAATGCTCTGCTAAGACTAGAAGGTGGTATTTGTCCTCAGCACCGGCATTCGGGTACTGGTTGATGGAATAAGGTTGTGCTTGCCACGAAACAAGTAAAGCAGGGGAAGAATCCGATCGCCCCTTGATTGTCTGCATTTACTCTCGGGCCATTCTGTTGCGTGTCGAGATAAGGATGGCGACGTGTGCCTCTTCTCCAACAACAGCACCGAAAAAGTAGTCCATAGTCCTTAACCACTGTCGGATCCGGATGCCTTGAGTTTTGTTTGACCCGTGCCACCAAGCCATGTACGTGTTTGGTCTTCGCTCCGGCGAACGACCGAACTCAACGCTTTGTGGCAGGATCAACAGCAATTCTCTTATTGCGTGGCCATGTCCAGGCTCAAGAACAACAATTTGCTTTCATTAGAAATATCTCCTCATCATTGAACGACAATCCTTATGTCTGGAAAGCAAAGTGAGGTTCTGGCTCAGTTATGGACAAGTTGCTCTTCGACACATAGATTCCTATTCGTACCTTTGAGCTTGTGCCGCCTTCTGTGCTTCATTCTCATGAAAAGAAAAACAGCCCAAACCTACCACCAGGTATTCTGACCGGCGTTCATGATTGTCCATCACCTTGACCGTGTGAAGTAAAAGACCTTTGCTTCCTTTTTAGAGACAGACCTCGATAGATCATAGTTGAGATTATGGCAGAAACATTTGATTCATATCGGTCCTGAACCGTATGAAAAGAGCAAGTTTTGTGCGACAGAAATAGGGAGTAGGTGATTCCCATCCGCTGGTTACAAGAGCAGCGCAGCACAGGGCTTAATGTCAGCTCTGGAGAACCTGAGCAACGGGAATCCACCATGGCACATCTCTCGGTGAAACACGTCGAAGGATGGCGAGGCGATGTCGGTGTATCTTTCACAATATGCACAATATAGTTGAATATCCTCCACATCGGAGCTGCGTGCAACAAAAAGAGCGCTGATCTTGCAAGTGCCGGACGTGCAGACAGTGGCGACCGATTCCCGACTCGACATGAGCGTATCAAATTTAGACAGCGCGGAAGAGTAAGACAAAATGCTCGTGCTTGAAAGCCGGCGGGCAATTCCCAGACTCTCCCTCTACCCAACCATTCAGGAAGCTTGAGGCTTATAGGGAATCCTCTCCTTAGGAGCGTGCATTTCCTTCCACGCTGGTCAAGAAAACATTTCCAATGCTGAGGCGGAGAACGGAGGCCCCACCTGGAGATAGCGTTTGATGTGATATGCGCAGGATGTATCGAGCTTCTATGATCAAGACATAAAAGAAACAAGCATGATTCACCCTTGGGGTGAATCCCGGATCCACTTGTCAGGAGCAGTTATTGAATCGCGGATTTTGAGATAGCAAATTGCAGAATTGGAACAGATTACAATCCACAACGACAATGCTGGACGAGCCAGGTGCCAGGTGCTGGGAAAGTGGTTCTACCATGGATCTCATGACCAGGTTTGGGCAAAACCGAGATGAATGCAAATGAGCCTTGTGTCCTCAGGAGCCAACTTCCCATACCCGGGACCGTCAGATTTGAGAACGATGCTACGTCAACTCCAAGTGGTGCCCAAATAATGATTTGGGCTTTCGAGCACATGAACTCCGAGATTGCCCTCCGCTTGAAATAGATGGAACAGAATCTCCTTCACAGTAAACAATGAGCACCGTTGTCTTCAAGTGTTCCTCCGCCACGCCACTCGCATGGAGCCCCTAATGCAACAACAACCATGGTCCGCGAAATCTCGCGGGCCTAGCCCGGCCCGGAAATCGTCCTCACATTGACTGAAGCCACGACGACGAAACCTGGCGTACTCAAAAGGAGAAAAGTGAACAGGAAATGAGTTGCCTCCTCCTTCCACTCCTTCTAATCGACACAAAATGTGTGATCGAACTCGAGGGTAGTGCATGAATATGCGACCATGAATTTGTCCCTTTCTGAACGGATGAAATGAAGGGACCTTGAAAGTGTCCTCCTTCTTTCTCAGGTACTTATGAACGACCAGGAAAATTCCCTTCTCACATGTTGTGTCCAAGCATATGGTCGTCAAAGTCAAGGAGAGTCTACCTTGTGAGGATTATAAAGGTAACAGTGCTGCAGAAAAGTTTGTAGATATGCTTTAAGGAAATTCGTTCTTGAGATTCTCACTAGATCGACTTGGAATTGCCAAAACCCCTGTCTTCTTTGTCCCGTCCTGCCAGTGAAGAACTATGTTCCTCCCATGGAAGTTAATCTCTAGGTGCAATAATGGAAGGTGAGAAATTGACTGTCATCTTTTGAGGAGCCATGGGATGCTGATGCTCTTTGTAGCTTCTTTGACCTCTATAGATATAATATTCCTTATTCCCATTGTGATGCTATTGGCACCTAGATCCATGTTAGCCTGTTTCTTGTTGGGCCTTCACATCCTTTTGTCATTCTACTGTGAACTTTTTTTAATGCTTAAAAAATTGCTCGTGAGCCATGGAGATAGCTATCTATGGACGCCCGAAGGGAGAATGTCAACGTCTAAACCGAAAAAGAGACTACACGGTTTACTTTAGACTACGAAAGGTTATGAGCTGATCCAATGCATCTGCTCCCATCATGAATGTACAGCACACGCAAACTCAAGGCCAACATGTCACTGGAGAATGTCTGCCTGGTATCAAATTATTCCGTGTCCAATGTTTTCAGAAAGATGTGATCTAAGGGTTGATGGATTGGTTTTTAAAGGCCACGTAATTTCGAAATAATCGACAGTTTGACTGCACATTTGTTGTTTTCTCAATGCTCACAGAAACCACCGAGGTAAAAATGCAAATTCTCAGTTGGATCTTTCCTGCCCTATATCGTCAGATATATGTACAACTTTGGATAACTTGCTCTCAACTATATTTTATTCTTTTCCTCTCTTTCCGCTTGAATATACAACTTGTGAAGAACTAGAATGAACACTCTTTATTGTGCATTGAAAACTCCAGAAAAAAGTCTGCAATTCCAGGTTATTTTCCCATCCAGAAGCTAAACATGGACTACCTCGTCTTTTATCTGTTCATGCTTAATGTTGTGACACAAATGTGTCTATATTTTGTCTGATATAAATTTTTAAAAATTTAATATATATAATATAGTGATTGTCAAAAGTCTGAAAAGACCCCACTACACAAGTAGCTAAACGACGTCTACACAGAGAAAAAAACTCATGTGTTGAAAATTTTGTTTCTTGCATATCATATCCAAGTTCGTACTTTTCAGTTTTTCTATGACTATCCCTCAAAATACCAGTATTTGACTCCCTTTCAACACAGCACATTAGAATCAGTTTGCAACAGTAAGGAAGCGAATGAAAATATTATTTCTTACCTTATTTTAGGCAGTAACGAAACAGACAGTATGAGTTTGTGAACGATTGAAAACTCAAATTTGCAGCTGTATGTTTTGAAATATAGATAAGTGGTTGCTAAAAATTTAAAAGTTATTGTGCCTTGGGGATCCCTCATCCTAAAAGGATACATTCACTTTTTATACTTTTTGTGTTTATGTTGATTTCTCCTTGCTACTTCGGTTGGCATATCGATTTATTTATTTCACCGCATAATGTTTTTGTCTTGATTATTTCACAAGAGTCCAAAATTGCATGAAAAGCTGAAGGGACTGATGACAAAAGATGTCAGAGCGAGGAGAATCTACGACAAAGTGGGCTCCTATGGTACACCCCGAGATGCAGGTCATGGGAACATCAGTGAACTTGCAAGTCCTATGAAGTCTTTACATACACAACTCAAGTTTACTACCATGGAATGAAGGTCATTTCTACTTCACTATGTTTTGTATTTGTTTCGTTTCTCATTCATTTGGTTACAGTAGCGCACCATGGCCCAGTAAACAGTGTCTCTCTCATGTATCCAATGAATCTTACAAGTATGGCTTTCGATTATTCCTTCTGCACTCCGGATTTCTTCTAGAATCACTCAGATCAAGAAAGAAAAGAATTTCCTCGAGTCAACTCTGCAAAGTAGCTACTATATATGAAAATTCTCCATCTACTTCCCACCGACAACTTTGTATTCTTCCAAGAATGTGAAATATGTGCGCACCTTTCTTACATACTAACATCTCACACTGAGTCATCTTTTCTCTTCTTGTCCGTGGTTATGGTTCTGACCTGTTCCCTAGGGGCCTATTTTCCCGTTGAAATAGCAATGAACAAAAAACCCATCGTATCCTCGCATTTAAAATTCTTCACTCATGCAATTGATCCATGTCATTGGCATTGAAAACATTTATTATACGTGTAAAAAATTTTTCAGTCCATCAATTATTCATTGCACATCCACACATTTCGAAGCATTTGCATGCTAGATTTGTGTGTCAGACATACCTACAACGTGCATAACTCCATAATCAATCACATAGTTGATGCATATACCTTCGTCTCATGTATAATGCTTTCTCTATTGCATATTTATAAAGCGTAGTGATTCGAGTAAGCGTTAAGCCATAGTATAAAATGATTTAGTTCTAGATTATATAAGTAATTGTGAGGTGATTGTTGAGAAGGGAATAATTAACCACGTCATGCCACTCCTCGAGACTCGAAGATGACAAGGTTATTCTTGGGTGGGGTTCAGCCGTAGTTGTTGCTTTCATTGTTGTGGCTCAGGTAAGATTATGCAATTGTTTTTCAGGTTGGATTTGATTTTGTTTTTTATTCATATTCATTAACGGTTGATTTAAGAAATTTGTAGGGTACATGGAATGAATATACCTAGGTATTAATGTGTGGATAATATGATGCGATTCGACTTGCATATTTTATCATGGGATGGGCAGTAAGGAATATCACTTTTTCAAATGTATGCGGAGACATGACGGTGTAAACTATCAAAAGTCAAATTTTCACACACGATGGTTATTTTCGAAATCTAAATATTACTTTTGCACGTGCTAGGACAACGTGCCTTGATTACACGAATCACTGAATTCATTAAGCGCATGTGAAGAAACAGATTTAATTAGATTTATTTATTTATTTATCTAATTATAAACATCCTTAGCTCAGTTTCAATGAGTTATGTAATGTATATATATATATATATATAAATCCCCGCGACTTTATTCCAAAAATTTATGCATAAATTTTTAATCTAGAAGTGAAACATTTTTTATATTTTTTATTATTATCGAGAAATACCTTAAATCATTTTGAGGAGATAAATTTTTAAGTTGATGTTGCAACGGATGAAATGGGCAAATTTGAAATAATTGGAAACAGTCAGATGGAGAAACTTGGGCAAGAGCAAGGATTGTAGCTTACTACAAAATTTGTGGAATAAAAGTAACATATATAATGTTGCTCATTACTAACATTGAAAAAGACATAGCTGTGATCAGTAAATGCATGATCCAGACGGGGTTCACTCCTTTTCTACATGATGGACTCCTTGTGCATTATGAATTCTGAAAATGGTCTACCTTCAAAGATATGCCACTTTAAGAATTTAGAGTTTGTGGGTGGATGACCTTGTAGAGAGAGTCGATTCAAAGAGGACTTCGTATCATCATTTGGCTGATTCTAAGCGCTATCCGAAGTTGCACAGCTTTATTTTCCGCGCACAATTTTTTTCTTCAAGAGAGGTGGAACAATTTATTTTACAATATATATCGATGAGCCTCACCAGAGGGTCAACGCATGCAAATTGGAACCTCAAGATTAAGCTCCGCTTTGATCAGATAAAAGGCAATCACCTCTGTTTCTCTGCACTGCAGTCTGGTGGCGAACAATATGATTGATATGTATCACGATGGAAATACAAACAGGAGTTTGGATCAGATTAAGTTGTATTGTGATCAATCCCTTCAGAACAGTTCTACTAGTTGAAGAGACTGATGGTCCACTGGCTATCCTGACAATTCTAGCATGAAATTAAAAGATATGGAGCCATGTCTCTGTCAGGTATCAGGATGTTGATTCACCATGAAGCGAAGGCAAGCTTGGTCTGTCAAGGAGCCTTCACCGAATGCATCTAATGCTCCGATCCTGTCATGTCAGTTTTGAGGTAAGGAGTGTTGACCTACCACAATTCCCTACACATTAGAAGATATAACTGGACTCGAGTAGTCAATTTGGAGATATTTGCCCCTTACCAACGGGTTTTCACCTCCCTCGTTATTCTTGAGCTCAGATCGTTTTCCACCCTCATGTTCACTGTACTGATGATTATGAGTGGTCACTTCCAACTGGGTTACATGTGAATCATTGCATGTTATTTTGAGATCTCTATGTGAATAAATGAATAGATTGATCTTCACGTGAGTGATCACTCGTTTGACTCTGCAGTGTTAATACAAGATGTATCAACACAGGCCCATCCCTCAGTCAGTCATGCGAGAACATGACACACAATGTTGAAGGCAGCAACGACGGTCTCACTTTGTTAGATTGCTATTTTTACAGTCCTTACGGTCTCAAGCTGTCAAGTTCCCCATTCTGATCTGAAAAATTTTAGAATGGAGACCACCAGAAGCTTTGTCGGACTGTGTAACTGTTCTGGTCATCCTGATTCTGAGTCCACTTTTCACAGTACGGAAGGTGGGACTGGATAAGCGGAGTGTTGCAACAATCTCGAAGTAAATAGAAGGAGAGACGTCTTCTAAAGACACTTGGAAGATTGTGAGACCGTCACAACTTTTTGCCTTTGTTTTTGCTGCTTTCGATACAACTTCTCCATGCTTTTTTTGGGCGGAAAGATCGACTGACAGATTTGATGTATGTGGAGTACAGAGGTTTTGCATGTTACATTTATTCATTGAAGGGAAGACAGGAATTATGTCCACGACAATTTCAACTGTACAACCACCAGAGAAGTTTGTCTACAAACAAATTTTAATACGGTAGTTCATATTACCATCCCACAGAAGGTGATCTTACGACTTTTCTCATGTGTCTGCACGCTGTGGATGGAGATGGAGCTTGATCCAGTGGAGAAAGTATCTGACCATACTGTAGGAGAAATGAAAGAGAAATCTTTCATTTCGCCTATAGCAACTGACACATGGAAATGCTGGTCCTCTTTTATGAAGGATGTTCCTTAGCGCCCAATCAAACACTGGCTTTAGGAAGGAGGCATCACGAATGTTTTCCTGCCATCAGCACAGAGCACTGCTATTTTGCAATTGCACAACAGTATCGAGAAATCAAAGCCACTGCATCAATTTCTGTGTGATTTACATTCTACACAGTACTTCGTACATTCCACTCTGATCCGAGGAACAGAAATAGGATAATGTCTTCAGATAAGCCATATGACCTTCATCACCTACTTCTTCTGCAAAGCACCTCCATTCCATCTGGCGAACAGATCACATGCAACAGTGTCTTCTATCCAGTTGTTCTCACATACTTTTCAGGCCACTTGTTCGACAATCTTCGCTGCATTTGCTGCTGTCCAGACCAGCTCGAGCTCGTTCTCAGCTCAAGTGCACCATGTTGTCAACACCATGTTCCGCAACTCGTACAAAGTTGCGCTCTGCTCTTGACTTTTCAATTACAATAATTATTCCACCGACTATGTTCATGACCGTGACAAGCTACACGGATACTTGTTACGAATTTCATACACAGAGTCCCACTCAAGCACGTAAAGTGGACCGTTACTTATTTTCCACGTGTTCTTTCAGGGGCACTTTAGCAACGGACGTTAGGCTCAGTGAGTCACACATGATCTTCAAGACATAAGGGCCAATGTATCTGATAAGGTTGACACTGTCAGTGAGTGACAACCCATGTCGATCATCACATTCATGCTGTCGCTCACGGCGAGAGGATAAGTTTAGTCGATCTTAAAAACCAACGCAAAAGTCGTTCTTCAAAGCTCTGATCTTCAGAAGTACGAAACTGACGGAAAAGTGAAATACGACGACGAGACTTGGGTCCACAGAATGTGAGACGAGTACAGACTGTTGATATTCGAGAAACAGATTCTATGAATGTTTGTTGCTAGTGGGCAGCATGCCATTGCGAGTCTGAACTGCTCGATTTGACCGTGAGCTTATTTACATGATGGACATTTTAGATTCTGAATTTGTCCAAAAGTGATATTTCCCGGATTATGGAGGATTTGAAAAATTAGGCTTTGGAACTTGGATGCGTGAACGGTTTACCTCGAGCAATTTCCAGTCTACGATTCAGGAATCCAATTTTCTGGACCGGAATTTTTTATATTGTCGAGTGTATCCGAGGAATTGTTCAACGTTCACTTTTCCAATTATTTAATGCGTTTTTGATGTGAGAGTGGAAGTATGCTTTGTTTCAATAAAAAATATACTTTTCCTTTCCATATCAACAAAACTCCTCCTACGAATGGCGCTGTTTTACAACCCCGTCTTCGAGATTGACCCCATTTCGTCAGAATTTCCAGCATAGTACACGTTTTCGTGCATAGATGGTCTGCAATAGTCGAAGATGTTTCAGGACACAATCTTCTAATTCTGATTCCAGCGACGAGAATTGTGGTCACATGATATGAATGAGCTGAAGATGAGCTCGAAGTCGATTATATAGCATGACAGACGTATGCAGCCAGGAAGACTGCATACGGGAACTTTGGCGGCAGCGATAATCTTGCAGAACATAGCGTACGTTTCAGTTTACTGTTCAGCTTATATAAAAACGAATTTCAGACGTGGAACAAACAGAAAAGTTCGAGAATCACAAAGGCGTAGTGTGATTTCGAAATCTTGCCAGCAGAGCAAAGCATCAGATGCCGAAACGGCATGCACTCCCCTGCAAGATTGCCCCAACACACAAGATACGATCGTCGTCCCAATAGTCAAGTCAAGGCAAGAATAATGCGGAACAGGTGGATAATTACAATGGAATCAGGTGAACATAAGCCGAGAATGCCACCGATCGTTCAAGAATTGAATACTCACCCCACTCACTCGTAGGGGCCTTGACCTCCTCCTACGAAACGATATTCTACACTTGCTTAACAGAGCTAAAACATGACGAACTCGAAGGTGCCCTCTCTCCCTTCGTGACCCTCTCCTCACTCCCTCTCGAGTCCTGCGCAGAGGCAGGTTACTCTTCCACCACACCTCATTCGCATGCTGGCTCGGCTGCTGAACTGGTCGAAATGTACAGAGTGAACTTTATATATATTGACTATACTCGATTAATTCGCCTATCTATCTCCCTAGCCGACTATCTAAGCTAACTACATCAGAATTTAAAGGATCAAAATTTGTTGTGTAGAAGTGCCCGCAGGTGGCCTAGAGGGAGGACATGGGGGAGCACTGGACGATTATTGACGATCAGAAATCAGAATCTGTCCCCTCCCAGAGCCGCCCTGCTCTATCCGTAATCCAGAGACCTTATACGCCGGAGTATACGATGGATATACGTAATATCTACAAATTTGTGTTGTCGTGGGCCCTTTTTTTAGCAGGAGTCGATGACGATTCCGAAAGCAGGGCACGCGGTTTGGTCCGACAGCGAGACGGCAGAGAGCGAGTGTTTGATCGTGTTGCCGCTCTGCATGGGCAGCATGTCCTGCAGCGAGCTGGCGATGGAGCTCGAGCGCTTGCAGGAGGAGAAGAACGGCTGCCGGTTGGTGATCGAGGCCGCGCGCGCCAGCGGCACCACGGGCAGTTTGTCGCAGTTGCAGACCTCGATCATGAACCCGTCCGGGTCGTGGAAGAACAGCTGGTCCACCAGAATTCCTCCTTCCTCCACTTCTCGTCTCAAGTACTTGATCCCGCTCTCTTGCAGTTTCTCCTCCACCAAAGTCATATCCTCGCACTGCCATTCCACAACAATCGGAAACCCACCAACTGGTCAGCCATGAAACTCTTCGCTCATACACACGCTTCTTAAGAAACCCTGCTCTCGAGACCATTACAGGACACGAGGATTTCACAAACAAACAACATCCGAACGAACGAATTTGGTTCTGTCTGTGAATCTGTCTTGGCGCATGTCAGGATCGGATGACTCGAGCACCATTCAGATTCACTCAGATTCATTCAGATTCATGAGCTGTTGAGCTGGGATGGATTTCATGATGTGTACCTGGAAAGATACATGATCGGCCTTCGGATCGATCTCCTTAGCGCCGGGTGAACCTCCATTTTCGCTTTGCAACAGATGAATTCCAATGCCGTAATTGAACAGCCTGCAGCGACGAACGATGACGATTGACGTCAGCAGAGGAAAGGTGATCGGCCAATGCTGCTCAAATTCAGCTAAAAGTAACATACGGGCAGTTACATTCACGGCATAAGAAGCAACTCGAGGGCACAAGCAGACAAGATTCTGGTCAGAAAAGCCGATGCTTGTCACCATGCGGGAGGAGTGTAGGAATTTGCGCGAGGCCGGGCCGGACACGGAGAACTCACCATGCACCCTCGAAGTCGAAGGATCCAGGTCTCTTGATCTGCACGAATCCGAGCACGTTCTCGTAGAACCTCCTGGACTCCGTCAAGTTGCTGCAGACGCGCGAGATATGATTGACGCACGTCAATGGGAGAGCCGACGACTTGCGGAACTTGTTGAAATTCACCTGGCCGACCATCCCACAAGCAGGGGCTGCGTCCTCGACTCGCATGATTCAAGGCTTCTTCTAATGCACCCCGAAATTCTTACAACAATTCCGCACACCTCTGTTCTCTGCGATCACTCTCTCACTCTCTCACACGCACGCACTCCCAATTTTTTGCCCCGTCGCAGTAATTCGACAAGGACGTGAAGATCAACACCACCGTCGCCTGAAGCTCACAAACAATTCACCACTCTTTCTTGCGGGAGAGCTGGCGGACCTCGGGAAATCTCACTCAAATCCAAAGCGGGCTGCAGCCAGAGCTTCGTAGAAAACAGTTCCCAGAAAGTCGATTCGACTGATCGCGTGAATAGTAGGCAATGGAACTCGGAACGATCACTGGACGATTCAATCCTGGCGCTTTTGCTCTTGGTTGGTTCCTTGGTTGGGCGCTGTTGTTGTCGTCGTCGTCGTCGTCGTTGGCCGCTGGTGAGGAATGCTAAGAAGACGAGCAACCGAAGGGGAAGTAAGGCATGGGGTACGACGAGGGAAGAGGAAGAGGAAGAGCCCGAGGCGCTGGGAGAGGGGGGGGGGGGGGGAGGGGGGTTGGGGAACGATCGAACCACAGCTCAAATTTAGATCGCGCCGAATATAGATATATACTTGCACTTCTGGCAGCGACGTTCGTCTGGGCCCCTTAATATAACCGGGCGCTGCTCGCTCGCGCGGATCGTCTCACCCGTCTCATCTCGCAACAACAGCGTCTTGACAAACCCGGCCTGACGCCGGAATATCGAATTTCGTCATTATTTAACGGACGCCGGGTCACGTGCCTGAACTAAGCTACGCCATCTGCCCACTGGAGTCCAACCACGGCCCTAGGCTTCCGCCCGGGCCCGGGCTCGGACCCGGTCCTGGACCCGGCCTCTATCCCGGCGCAGCTCATTGGAGCGACCTGCCAAAGCTTCCTCCGCGCTCCACTTGCGCCCCATGCTCCAGCTTCCACAGCCAGCGCCGTGTCGTCGCTCCTCCAGGTGGTCGACCGCGCGCTCACCGGCTCAGCGGGTCGCATCGCATCTCATCGTCGATCGGACGGCTTACGATGCCGGGAAGGGAGATTTGTCTTATATGCTTATGACGGCTCGGGAGGGAGATTTGTCTTATTCCCGTGAGGTCGGCAGCCACGGCTTGAATGTGAATCTCATGAAAGTCGAGGATTCGAGGCACAGTTGTGGATTTTGTGGCGATTCTTGAGGCTGGGATTTTACCGGCGGTTTGGTACGAGTTCCCATTCGATTTGTTGGGATGAGGGGTCAGATTTTGGGGAGTTTTGGCTGTCGCCGGCATGAACGCATGGATCACAAGGCGCTGCTGCTGCTGCGCCTGTAGCTGTAGCTGCAGAGGGCGGCTTCCTCTTGCTTTTTGTCTCTTGCGGGTTTGCCGAGGGACGTAAGAGTTCGATTTCATCAGGGAACGAGTTTCATGGCACTGCATGTACGTGGTCAAATCTCCAACCTTCTGAGCAGGTTGGAGTTCGGACCTCCCCAGCGATTTGACCCGATGCTCGGTGGGGACATGTGACACTTGTAGCCGATACGAGAGGCTTCGCATCTCGCCCAGAAATCGGTTGAAGTCGAACTTGTGACTCTCCTTTCGTTTCAAGGGATGCACAGATCCAGGTGCCAGAGGAATGTCTGCATGATCTATTCTCAACTCTGGTAGCAACACAATTTCATTATGGATTAAATGGAGTAGATGAAAAGCATTTTCCCTTTTTTTCCAGAGAAATTGATTACGATACATTTTCAGATGATATATTTGTCGGAATATGCAATATTTTCAATTATTATATACCATTGCCCGACTTGGGTTTGTAACTTAACGAATAAAAAGGCAACATCGATCAGTCAGTCCACCCACTTCGAACGAGTGATTTGGAACGAGGCACTTAGATGAGTGAAGTTACGACACAGGTGTCGCATCGGGGAAGGAAGAAAACATCAACTCAGACAGATGTAAAAATTGTCCCTGGAAATTGACAGGCACATTCCACGAACTGGAAAAAGTCGGTATGGAGTAGTGTTGACAACCAGTGCTCCTTACCTTCTTGTCCTTTGTGAATCATGACAAATAGCGTTCGATTGGAATGGATAAGTGAGCATGCACAATGCCAACTCAAGCCATACTCGAGAATATCTATATTAGATTCGCCATGAAGGAAGTTTCACGAGTTCTCCTTCTTGTCCTCCTGAAAATGGCAGACGTATGTTTGTAACTTTCATTGGCGCGTTTTACCTCCATTCATCATTGCATGACAAAGCTTCAAAACAACGCTTCAAAATATCATAACACCTTCAAAAGTGAAAGCATATATTTTCACAAGCCTCCAGGTTCATCCACTTCAAACACATTACATTACAAAGACATTGGCCAGCAAGCTGAGACACTTTACGACAATGAATACTGAAAGGTCTATTTTAGACAGATTGTGAGAGTGAGCTAAAAGAAACGAAAATATCCACTGTATGACGAGAATGGAAACTATTAATACGGATTGCTAGATCTTACATCGATCCTTCACGATTACATGAGACACACTGTCTGTCTGTCATCTCTGCAGGCTGGCTGGATGGATCCTTTTGATTTACTAAAGCACCAATGGGAAAGTACGTCGTTACAAGACATGGAAAAAACACCAAAGACTCCAATAAGAACGTCACAATGAAGAACGGCAAGAGTCGGCTTCGTTGTGATACTGTGCCATATGCAGATATTGCCACTGTACTTAAAATGTCAGGTGAGTGGATGTTGAGACATAAATCATATACAATGAGTTTCTCATAGTTGCAATCATAGAAGTGTAAAAAGGAGCAACAACACTTAAAACGTTTAAAAGCCAACCAGGGAGTCTGATGTTATCACCAAGACATCAGCACTTACGGTTGAGAAGTGACCTTGCACAAGACATCCTGAATCTATCTTCTTTAGCAAAGAAGCTGCTGTGTTTTGTTTCACCCACGTGGAAAATGGATTGTCACGGAGATTCACAGTCCACTGCTGATTTAGTTGCCACGCTTTCCACAGTTGGTACTTTGCAACTGAAACGTGAAGTTTACCATATGCGCAGGATAGTTTGCTTTCTTCTTTCTCTTCAAAATTACGTAACTTTTTTAAATAAATCTATTGACCAGATGGACACCCTTTTAAAATAGAATGCGGCTAAGGGCACACTACTTCTCATTCATTCCTGCTCAGATGGACTGACTACACTTGTCCTTGTACTAACTTGGCTTCAGCACGCCATCATGTCGAAAATTAGACTTGTTTGTTTAAGAGACGATACAAATAAGTTGGTAATTCAGCAATCCAGAATTTGCTTAGCATCACAAAACCCATGGTACACTCAATTTCAGAGTACCTGGTGTGCTCCTGGCAGTGATTTAACTTTCTGTTGTTCTCTCTTTCCCAGTCATTTCCAATAAAACTTAGATAGTTAGTATATATTTATATATATATATATATACAAGTTGAAAAATCCTCAATCCAGCTCATTAACTGAAAGACATCAGACCTACATCGACGTTAGCGCATTTGCCGCGAGCTGCTCGATTGAGAGAAGATAAGTGATGCCCTCTTTTGTACGGACTGAGATACGAGACTCTCGTGTGAATCCCAGTTCCCTTCTCAACTGCAGTTCTCATGTTTCTCAGTCTTGTACTTCCTCGTGTTTTATATATATTCTTCGCATTTCCACGAGATGCTGGATTGAGAGAAGATCATTCATGCTCTTTTTGTACGGTATGTTTATGAGATACGAGACTCTCGTGTGCATCCCAGTTCCCTCCTGAACTGCACTTCTCCCTGTAGTTCCTCGTGTCTTATAGGTTCTTCGTGTACGACAAAGGTCCTTTCTGTCTTTGCGCAACACTTTGTATATTCTCATGTGATCACTTGATTCCTGTGATTTTTTTGAGTGGAACCAGTTTGATTGTATTCCTATTAGAAATCTAGGCAAGCTGAAATGAACTGTCGACTCCAATGAAATAAAAAAGCTATTGTGAATTGTTATTTATACATAAATGTTGAAATTGCATTTATCAACTGATAATCTGGAGAAAATACTCATGCTATATTTACCCTACAAGACCCGAATGCAGACATAGATGTAGGAATTCATTTGTCTTTTACTATGGAATCCTATGTTCTATATCTGCTATGAAGCGATAATATAGACGGGTTCGCAATCAGATGTTGAACTTTGAATCTTGCAGAGGAAGCAGTAGGCATAGCTCTGAACACCGCAAAATGTCACTGTCTCCTTAACCATGAGTTCGGTCCAAGCCAATTCCTCCAACGCACAAGTTCCACTTCTCCCTGGACAAAGCGCTGGCTCTCCGAGGAGCTTCCAACTTCTTCTAAGGAACTCAAAATTATGGCCAGACATTCTTCAACTCCAATGACTGAGTACAAAGTGAAGAAGAACCTCCATAATGTCACACAGTCCTCCACCCCCTTGCATGCTTAGTCTAAACAAGTCACGGCCAGGCAACTTTCCTTCCCATTACAGGACTCACATCCTGCTGGCCTAGACCTAAAAGCCCTCAAAGCACCGACCAACAGATCTTTGTACACTCCAACTACCCTCCACTACATAGTTGCAGACTTTGTAGGAATAGCTTAATGATTATCCTGTCAAGTATTATATAAAACCAACAGGCTGGACTCCAATAGTATCAATGTATGAAATATGTACCTACAATATGAGAGCTATTTAGGATCACAAGCTTTACTCATTACATGACTTTCAAAAAGTTCAGTGGAAAAAACCTTATCATGGGTTTCTCTCATAGGCAGCAACAGCCCATTTTCTTCGTAAAACATTGGATCACAGTCTAGAATAACTTGCACAAAGTGCTAAAAGGATTTGGTAAGTGTGTCGCCTATAGTCTCTTGCATGCTACACAAACCTATCCAAGTTGTCATCCAAAACACAAGTAGAAGGAAAACAAAGTAAAAACATCATTTCAAAATCTACCGTCATACTCACAAAGCAAATGCATAGCTCACGCAGCGAGAGCACTCCACTGACCAAAGACTGCTCTGGCAAACGTATCGCATTGGATATGAACTGGATGACAAAGTCATGTTCTGTGCCCATGTTCAGGGAACTGAGTAAGAGTGCCGCTAACTCTGATTAGCTGGGAGTCAGTTAGCGGGGCCCAGGTTATCTGCCAAATGTACAGAGCACAGTAGAACGCACACGACCGCGTTGGGACCCACGGAAATCTGACAGCCCAATCTGGTACTGCGGCCTACTGCGGCCCAGCCTTCAAGACCGCGGTTGAAGGTTGACCAAGTTGCAGGGCAAACTTATCCACCAGCTCGATGCCATGGTCAATGGGAACCCAGTGGACGGCATCCGCATCCCGGAGAGCGCGACAATAGTGATGACACAGTCATAGCCACGTAGACGGGCTGCGTAGGACATGCCGTTAGACGCGCCCTCCATCTGGCCGCCTGATGTGAAAGATGGAAGGAGCCGTGACCGATATTGTGCCCACGTCTGCTGCCAGGTCGTTAGTCCAGGTGGACGGAGGGTCGGGCCCCGAGGTCCACGGGTCCTACCAGATCCTTATTTTAGCGGCCGAGCGATCTCCGAAGAATCCATCGCGGCATTTTCCTGTGCCTAGTCACTCGCAAGAGTTACCAGTTTTTAACGCTCTGCTGAGGTGGTTGATGGCCCCCCTGCCCATGCTCACGCCCCGGCTCTTTCTGCAGTTGTAGTAGGACCCTTCTTCACCCACTCCTCGGGGGACGTTCAGGAATTTCCCCTTTAACTGATTCCTATCAAGCCCTCGCACCTTCCTAATCTTAGCATTTCTTCGCCTCTTCGGAGCTCGAAGCTTCCTGAACCTAACTTCCGTGATTCATTTTTCAAAACCGAACATGCCTCTGATTTTGATCGCCTCCCTGTGTTAAAACCCGTGCCAAAAATATCTTGGAGTTTTGATTATTTTGAGTACGTGCGCTAAGTGTACGGAGTTTCATATTTCAGGAAATTTTTCGTCACCAAGTGTCAAGTAATATCTATGTGTCTTTTCCAACGATCTGATAACATTAGAAACCCAATCTAACCAATCCCTTGAGTATTATGAAAAAAATTGTTTCAATGTACAAATTTGCATATTCAAAGAACATCAACAAATTGAAGGCATCTATTCAACTTCCTGATCCTCCCTACCTTCCACACTTATAAAGTTTCGAATGAGATCTGATTTCATCAGAACATACCGATAACAAATGAACTTGTCACCTCAAAGTTATGATCAATCTAGGTGAGACTGCACGTGGGAATCTGTCTCCAATGACAGGACAAAATAGAACATCCCATACATGGAAACTGAATAGTTCACTATCTTCAGGTTTTACTTGAACACTATGGGGATTTATATAAAGAATAATTAGTGAATATGTTATGTTTGACTTTGTTTATGATCTCTTCCGCATTGTACATATGGGGTGGATTTATTGTTTTCAAATCTCTTCAATTTTCAACCTTTGACATGGTTGAAACTTAATGGAAAAAAATAAATTATGGAATATAATGTTATTATCATTTTTATCATTTTGGTTTTGATGGTTAGAATTTCCACACAAGAGAGTATATTACATATATAGTTAGGTTTGTGATATGTGACTATACAACTGGAATTGGATACATGATGAAGTGTTAAGCTTGATATAATCTATTTATGCTAGTTTTGCATTAGATATCATCAATATTATTTCATTCCATTTAAACTTTTTAAATGTCAAGATAAAGATTGATGTATGAAAAATGCGAACATAAGTTATGATTAGATCATTTACATGATAATGTAATCACAAAATTTATGATGAAATTTAATTATGAAAATAAGTTTATTGATAGTTTGATTTCAAAGATTCAATAGATTATATTGAAAATTTTTTAATAGTCATTTGCATGTGAGATGTGGCTATTCATTTTCAATATTTTTATCAAAAACTATGTAAGCTATAATATGTAACAATCAAACCTTTTGATAAAACAGATGTGAAACAAATCACATGAAATAAATATCATCTGATTGACAATGAGACATATTTTTATCTTTATTAGTTTAAAATAATTTTATTTCAAATCTTCAAATTAATTTTTGCAGTGATAAATTTTTAACTTGAAATAAAATAAATAAAAATTAAAACTTATTAAATTGAAAGATTAAAAGTTATTGACATATTCATTTCTTAATAGGTTTCTTATTTTCTCTTCACAAAATTTTGAAGTAACATTCAATACCTTGAGCACTGATTTGAATACTTTCCACTTAATATCACATGTTAGTGAAATTTAACTAACAAAAAAATTTCTAATTATTTCTAATCATGAAAATAATTTTTTTTGAAAAATTATGTAACTGGTTTTAGTGATATAAAATTTGATTTACGTAATTCAAAAACACTTCTCACATCAAATTCCTTGTAAAAAAAAATACATTAGTCCTGATCATCATAAAAGTTAAAAGAGTTTAACTCACATGTATTTATTTTGTGCTATAATAATTTTGATTTGAACTTCTCACATTAAATTTTCATTTCCTTCATTTAACTTTACATATATATAAATATCATAAAACATTCCTTCATTTTGATTATCCTTGTGAAATTAGAATACCAATTTTAAAACACAATCAGAAATCTCAAAACTAACAGATAGATTTGATCAATGGATACATTAAAATCACTTGTTACAAGATCACAACAACATCCAAAACCGATATTTGTTTATTTTAACATATTCATTTCAAAATGATTTTTTATTATGATTGTAGAGAAAATTCAAATAAAATTACATATATCGTAAATTTTAATTTCATTTTATTATTTCAACATGTCATGTGTGAAAATGCATTAAATGTTTTTTATTCACATTGAATGTGAATTTCTTATCCCGCATTATGTCAATTTAGTTTCTCAACTTTACCATATTTTGTGGTCAATGACTTCACCGACTTTATGTGATTGCTCAACCTTGCAATGATTTCACATCATTGGGCTTGGATAAAGTGAACTGTACCTCATTTTTGTACTTTCGACAGTATATTTTGCAAGTTGTATGTTATCTTGTTACTTTTGTACCTCGTTAGAATCCACTTTTTCATTTAATTATAAGTTCCATGTGACCGAACGAACACTGCTGCTAAATGTGACAAAAAGATTAACCCTACAGTATGCTTATAAGTAAAGCATGCATCATATGCTATATTAACATATTAAGATACGACATAGGTTTGAATCCGGGCTTTCGCGTTACACAACAAATGCCTTCTCCCAAAAGAGTCTCGGGGAAAATTGATCCTCAAAATTTTCGACGTAGAATGAGGAAAGAGAGGAGCAGCTGAGACCAAGAAGGACGGTGAGTGCGATCTGCAGACAGTAACCAGTCAACACGCCAAGCTCCTCCCATTCTCGTGGGCGTTGAAAGCGACAGATTTGCTGTTGACAGTGGACGATGGGCTGGAGATTTAGCTGCCCAGCGTTGCGGGAGGAGAACAATGGAAAAGAATGAATGCCACGATCGAGAAATGTCGTTTTCAGAAGTCAGCGAGTCCGGGACCCGCACCAAATTTGTAGGGTTTGCGAGGCGGGTTGACAGTGTGAAGCTAAAGAGAAGTCTCGTGACAGGGCTATGACCGAATCGGCCGGTCAAAGCAAATCGAGCGTGAAATTACTTCTCGCAATCGTGCTCGATAAAAAGTCGGTTGTCGATGACGATCCTGCTGACTCCACGCGCTCTGGAGATGTCTTGAAGATGGAGTTTGGTCGAGATCTGGAGTTCAGGAGCAGGAAAAAGCTGGTACCCTTATCCATGAGGACAGTCGTGACTCAAATGTTTCTCGCCGTGACAAGGCCTCCTCGACCTCGACCTCGACCAGCTTTAACCACTCCTCGATCGTCGAACGAGAGATTCACAGAACCGAGTCCTGCTTGTCTGCGAAAAGGCGCAAGCAGAGATAGCCGCCTCACTCGGCCGTTAGAGAAGCAGGAAAGCACTGACATCTGATTCCGATTCAAAGCTTTTGAGAAATGAGAATCTACGACCTACTTAAATGAACGATTCGTATTTTCTAACGCGATGCCCGAAGTTCTCGAGCAAGCATACCAACCTTTCTTACATCACGGGACTGCTCTCGTGTGGGTGGAAAGAGCATTTGGAGAATCAGCAGCATTTATTTCCGATGTCACAACATAGATTTTATAGAAATCCATAATCTGTGCTTTGTTTCAATTTCTCGTGCGCATGACGAAGCGCGACACGTACACTTGTCAGAAAGCGCGGAACGGAGGCTCAAGGCGTGGTGCAATCCCATCGACTGAGTTACAGAACAAAGCAAAACTAAACTGGGAAATGAGAAAAAGAGATTTGATCTATCTTGGAATAAATCGACAGTAATCTTTCTCCTATTCCATAGGCTTAATCAAGTTCGATAGATGTGAGTAGAAATTTGTTGCATGGTTAAAGACGTAGTTATCTAACTGGATGACAAAACAAGGTTCAATGTCATCTTCCTCTCTATGATGTAGGATTAATCATGTTACATTCATGTACATAGAATCATGACATACCTATTTTTATTCTCAAACACCAAAACATAAATCTTCATATAGCAAAGGGAGCAATTTATTTCATGTAGTTAATAGACTCTTACATTAGAAACAAAAAAAACTCTACATTCATAATTTGCTTTATTATGATAATAGAAGAAAGATGTAGTTTGTGAAATTTGATAAAGATTCTATTTTAAAAGATTTTGTCTTCAGTATGAATAAATTGCGATGTTTAGCAGTCAACCTTATCAGTTTGCATTTACGCATCAATCTTTTTTTCTTCAATTTATACAACAATTACGTAGTCAATTTATTGATAAATTACGAGATGCCAAGGCTTTTTGATTCTAATGTGATATATATATCATTTGCAGAGAATGCCTATGTGTGTGTGTTATTTACCTCATACAAATAACTACCTCATTCCAAAAAAAAATTCCAAAATAACAGCTATTGAAACCTCTCTATTCATCTCAAAGTTATTAAATAAACATTTTTTCACACATTAATCCATAATCATTAAAATTTTCAACTTGTAACACAACTTTTATGATATTGTCAGATGATATTTTTGTTCTATCACGTCTCAAAATTTTAAGCAAAAATGTTTTTTTGAAATACTATATTCTATGAGATTTATAACGAATTTCATAACTTTACATCTTGAAGCTACATGCTTGAAATCAATCCATTTTTTTATATATTTAACATCACTATAATACTTAAATTTGTAATGTTTAAATCAGATCTACATCTACATCTTAACAAAACTTCCATCTCAGCAACACTTTTAACACTTTCCATCAATAAAAATTCTATCTATACTTGTTCTCAAAGTCATAAATAAAATTTCAAGGTAATGCATATAAACTATCATTCATTTTTTTACTTTAAATTAATTGAATCTAACTAATCTAATCTGATTTAAACTTGAAGTCACAAATTTTATGGCTGTAGAAAAACATTTTTTTAATTCAATAAAACGTAAAAAAACTCACAACCTCAAGTAAACTATTCTCTAAAAAGGTTTTTAAAAAATTGTCTCTAAATTAATGCATATAATAACAGGATATGGAATTGGAATTAAATTTATTAATCAATACACAGATCTTCAAAAATGTAAAAAAATATAGTTAAAAAACACTATAAAATTTGTGTAATCTGTATACAGTCAATTTAAAAAAAAATCAACTACCATCATTGAAGTTGCACAAATCAGTTTCAAATGAAACACAATGATACATCAAAAAAACAATAAAATATAAATTATAAAATTTTAAGAAATCAAAATCCATTAAATAATTTTTAATAATTTTTATATCAAATAATTAAATATATTTATTATTTTTTAATTTTAGGAAATATATTTGCAATTCACACATATTCTTGTAAAGTTGAAATTAAGAAGATGTTTCATATGTTGAAACTTGGCAGCTGTTTTGTGCATCATGATGACAAAAAATATTATGATTTACTTGAAATTCATTTAGTTTGACTTGATAATTATGGTAATAAATTATTATATTTTTTCAAGTTAAAAATGCTTGAAGTCTAAATATTTTATTGGTTATATCACTTTTTTGATCGAATCAACTCTAGATTTACTCATCATAAATTTCAAATATTTCAACTTTGTGCAAATAATGGTTGAACTTCAAGCATAAAAAAATAAAATGACAAAAACTAAGACGTATTCTTGAAAAAAATAGAGAATATCAAATTGATATAATATATTACCACACTAATTTATATGCTTCGAATGTTTGTAAAAAGATAAATATGAACACTTTAGTCCAAACTTTTTGTTTTCGGCCAATGTGTTCGTAGTGATGTGTGTGTTAAAACGAAATTAAAAGATTGATGTTTTTTTGAAACTAATCTAAACTACATTTTTAATTCTTTATAACTGACATGGTTCACGGTGTCGAATAGATTGCAATAATTTAGTCATTTACGGCATTTTTCTACTTCAAAAATATGAAGTGGTTTGAAGTTGCTCATTTCATAATTCACAAAGCCAACATATACACGGCAGAGAAAGAGCAAAAACACAGTACATAATTCATCTCTACGAAGCAACAAACGACAGGAGTGATTTATCTTAACAGAACTATGCACTTAGAAATACAAACGTTTTACTTGAAAACTCTAGGTTTGCATATTAGAGAACTACGACTTACTATGATAACATCCTAACTTTGTTCCGACTAAGTAGAATAACATCAACTTAAGTTAACAAAACGTCACTTAAATACTATTACCTCAAGTGATTTGTCATCACTTTACTAGTGCTTCATAGCTCTCAGATACGTTGTAAGAATATCAGTTCTATAACATACTTAAATGTTCAAACTTATCTCCCTTTCAATGTTAGGAGAGTAAACAAGAGACTTTGTTATTTATGCAAATTTTGGGTGAAATACACAATGCAATAAGACAAAAATAAAAATGTTCACCAAAAAAGTTTTATCATGATAAATACTATCTCTAACTCTAACAAAGCTATCCATATCTTGTCTAGTTTTCCTACGCATTCAATTGGAATAAAATTTTCTACTCTTACAATTCTATTTACTTGGAGATCCTGAAAAATATACGAATATATGTATCTCCTCCGCTTCAATCATAAGTCTCGAGCAATAGTTTATCAACTCAACTTACTGACTACGACTTCGGCCAACAAAAAATGAAGAAGTGAACACATACAAACTTACTGCTAGATGTGACTTGTTATCTACACACGAAACAAACAATGGCATATATGATGGTTGGAATGGTAGTGTGTCAGATGAGTATCCTATGCATCTTGGTTTAGAATACAGTGTCAGCATGCTAGATTGAACCTGTCGAAAGAGCACCAATATGATACATGTCCGATGCATAAAGATGGAAGAATGTGGCACAGTGAAGAAAATACTCTTTTCCGTACGGATCTTCAAGCTAAAAAATATCTTTGAACCTGTTGTAGATCATACAGCTTTATTGCTCCCTCCCATGTAGAATATTATATAAGTTCCAAACACTAGCGCATTGTCACATACTCAATCATTTATCTCGTTCTTTTTCATTATCGCCAAAATCTTACAAAGGTTGAAGTTAGAAACTTCTCTTAATGGCAAGAAATTTAAGACTATCGATCATTTTTATTTTTCAAGGTCTAACAGTAAACATTGTATACATAACTTGTATAATATATCTTCTCACTTTTATTCCTTCACTCCCACTAAACACAGTCATGCAACTCTACTCCCAGTACCATTCAACGTAAGAGATTGTCCATAATACAATGTATGCCGTGTGGAAGAAAGAACTCGTCAGCAACATGTTAGATAATCGCTCCGAACCGCACCGATTGTGGCAGAGGTCTGTTCTCTTCTATACCAAACTCCCAAACTTCATATTGTTCAATAGTATCAATCATCATTCATTGCGTCTCTGTTCTGTGATGATTGAGAGAAGAAAACCTCCCTTACAACTCACGAAGTCACTGCCCTTCGTCTTGTTCAGATACGTTCGAACTCTCGTGTAATGTTTCACAATGTCTCTTTCATTTTCAGGTTTTCCATCTTAGATATTGGAATGAAAGACAGACCTCAAAGTTCCTTACTCCTTGGTAAAGTGCAGACTAATGTTGTCGTCTTCCACGGGCGACGCAACGATAGTACTTCAGTGACGCTTTGCTGTGTTAATGCTTTGGGACATGATTTTGACCATGGCTGCCAGTGGATGAAAACATGAAAACAACCATGAAATCCAGACAAAAGTCATACTCTTTTTCCATTAGAAGTTTTAGCCAGCAGAAGTGCGTGCTAAGGACCCACAATACATCTCCAAACATCGTGTACACAGGTTTCAAAACTTCAACCTTCAGGTGAGAGCAGAATGTGAGGTTTGAAATTTCTGGCCGACGATGACTTAACCCCATAACAAAATCCAGAGACCGGAACATTTGCACTGCTCCACAACCACAAATCATAGGTGTGATGAATGTCTGAGAAAGGACCAGATGAGAGACGAACAAGATGCGATTCACATACTTGGCATGGAAACGTTAATTACCTCCCTGGAAGCCTCAGACGCAGATAGCCTAAAAGAGCAGTGGAAATAAGATTACTTTCTACTTATATCAATTATACAGATGAGCTTGCTGATTCTCCCCGTGGCTCCACGTTGTCCACTCATGTACGGATAACCTTTGGTTCACAACTCTTCAAAAACTAATCTCGTCAACTGTAGCAGGCTCCGGATAACAGGTTGTTGTCGGAAAATGAGCATAAATTTTGGTTGACTGGGGTGAGTAGTTCAATCTAATCCACTCACCACAAAAGAGAGTAAGCAAAGCTAAGCTACCAATTTGTTGTGTTGTGGAAGTGCAAGGAGAAGGCGAGCAAAGGACCCTAAAATTCTTGATAAAGGGCAGATGAAACGAAAGAGGAGCTCCACTTACTAACAACTGGTGGTCAAGTAGTCAACTTCTGCCACAAGCTTATAATGAATGCACCTTAGCCTAACAACTCAATACAGGCTGCCGACTCAAAACAAGAAGTCATCTACAGCGCTAGCAGAGCACTAACCATCTAAAGGACCTTAGAAGCACAAAGCGTAGAACATAGTGCGGGAGGTAACACGCAAACAATATGAGGTCCTGCAGGGCTACTACTGATGTGAGCTCGACTGATGTTCGCCAAGCACAAAGAAGGAGGGTGCACATGACCAGCAACAAGTGGCACGCACGCCATCGAGATGACTACTCTCGCACCCATCTTTGACGAGAGTACAATATTGCCCTTCTTTCTTCCTGCAACCATCCAATTTTCTGTACTCGCTTGAAGTTCGTACTCAAGCTCTTCCATATCCTGGAGATAAACCAAAGTACACCCGAAACGAGAATTCTGATCAGATATACTGCTGCACTGGCATAACGAAGCTTTGCCAACTCTACTTAGTCTTGTCTGCGACCAGACAAGACATCTGTCGACGTACACAACAGAGCCACGACAAAATGCAGTCTACAAACTGGTTGGTCCAAGCTAAAGTGTGATCTGGAGACAAATTTTATCACTGCCGTCAACGGATGGTATCAAACTACTGACCTCAGCATTAGATGACGAAGGTAAAGATTCCTGAGCGACCTGATTCCCGTCACCTTCCACATTCTTCACTTTGATACAACCTTCCTTCAATCTCTCAATCCTCCACTGAAAGATGACTTGTTGTCCTACTCTTGGACCAGGGATCGGAACCGGGAGCATGCCAATGGCAACTAGCTGTTCAAGAACCGGCATTTGAAGGATGAAACTATTTGTGAAAGTCAGCGTTGCTTGATCTTCAAAAACAGGTGCGTCCCGATCCCTAACAGGAGCATGGGCCCCTATCCTGCGTTCGCCAGATATTTTATACTGGACAATTAACTGGCTCTCCAACGCTTTCGACGTATCAACAATTGGTCCATTACTCAAAATTGCACTTCCTGCACACATTCGATTAAATATCTTGTTTAAAACTCCCGAGAGATATAAACACGGTCTGGGTTCGTAAAAAGCCACTACAGTGCACCTTAAAATCCTCCTGGGATTTTGATGAAAACTTAGAAACGTTCGTGAATCGTTTTCTGCGTTTTAAAGGTTGAAATGCACGGACCTTCTTTTATGACGGGGCTTGTAGAACGGACCACAAACAAGAGAGCGCCTTCAGACGTTGCCGAAAGCTGAAGCGGTACTAACCACGATGGACTAGGTCGGCCATCGGAGCCATTAACATGAATAAAACCCGCTTGTAACTCTAATCTCGCATCCAAAATTGTGATGGAGGCGACCAACTCCGATATCAAGGTAACCTGCGCGATGCGCATGTTGCAATGTCAATTGCCAATTATGCATTTAACACGGAAATTGTGCGGTACTCTACAGCAAGAAACGACGATATAATTCAACACGGAAGTTCCTCGCGACTCAAGAGGTCAAAAATATGGCATCACTATCAGTTTGGAACACAATGGAAACTTCACAAAGGGAGATGACATCAGTCCGGGCCATGTACAACTATACTCGACATTTTACCTGCAAAATGAGAGTTCCATCATTTCCCTTGCTCACAACCCGAGTAAGTGTGCGGAATGGCTTTGTAAACTGCACTGCAATAGCCCTGGTGAAAGGAGGGTGACGCAAACAACAGACAATTTAGAAGAAGTGCGTATAATTGGTTGCAGAAGTTGATTTCAGAATTCCGAGAAGCAGCACTGGGCAAGTCAGGGAAAATTTTCAATGCACAAAACAGACCGAGACAAATGTGGAGCTTCTCCCGTCTTTACCTCTCAAACGTCCTGCTTCGCCCAGCACCAAAATCTAACTTCACATTGACAGTTCTCATCCCTTCTGCTGTGCTTGTGGCCTGTCTTGAAGATTCAATCCGCGTTACACTATCCCCTGCCTCAGATGCGGGCTCGATAGTCACAACATCTTTAGCAGACTTACTCGAAGATAATCGTCTATTCAGGCTATGTCTTGGAGACGTAGGAAGTAGAGGCAGCAATTCAGCCCCTGAGTTCTCATCCTGGACATGAGCGATTACGCGCAGCCACAAGACAGATGAAAGGCGACTCGCCCAATTTGGTAGCTCCACTTGTCCCCCTTTCACATGTACAACTTCTTTCTTAATACTAGGTTCCGGAGGTTGATCTGTAGAAGTTCCCACATGTCCTGTATCAACATTGCCATTAGCCTCGACGGAGCCTGTCCTCGATGGATCAACCTCGTTGCTTGTTGATGCGACGTATGCCTCCTCGAATACTTCTAGACAGGTGGTTTGATCTAAATCGATGTCCAAACCAGGTCCCGCTGAGATAGTCACGAGAGCACCCTCAAGCGAGTAGTCTAAAGGTTCGACTACAATTCCAACCCACTGCGGTTCACCGATCAAAAGTCTCCAAGATACAGCTGCTTGAGCAGATACCAACGCTCGCGGCTTGGAAACCTAATGAGATAGGCAAGGAAGACAAGACATAAGAATCATTCCTCTTGAGAAACGGGTGACAGCAAGCTGCTCACCGATATCTGTGTTCTTGTTTGCAAGCATTACCCTCACACTCCAGACAGGAATTTGAAGCGCAAAAACTTGGAATGTGAAAAGAGCAACCGACTCTGGATACTTTGTTACGTTGCAATTGCGAAGTACAAATATAAAGTTTTCTAAACTTACTGGCTTCAGTAACCCCACACAAAATCCACTACCTCAGCATACACGGCACTACTCTATTGTCGGAAAAAGAAAACGCAGCTACAAAATCCAACAACGACGGAAGCATGAAACCAATACTATTGGTCAATGTTACTGAGCCAGATAACCTACCTCAAGGACGGGTCGGATAGGCTTTTCCTGACTCAGATAATCATCGCTGTCTGGGGGACCACCCTTACAACTAGATGCACTCGTGTAGCAGCAGGTATGGGACCGCAGCTTCACTTCCCCTATATGCCCAGTGAGAACTCCGAGCACATAAGATCCAGGACGCTGAGGAGGCAAGAGAATGGAGACACTGTTTTTGCCAGGATTCAGTACTGGAGCATCTGCACTTTTCACAACCTGCAGAAATAAACATGGTAAGAAATCCCATTTCATCAGGTATGTAGGGTTCGGCCGGGCCGAACTTCTACATATGCTTTCGTTTTCTTCTCAACCTAGAGTTTGCACCTCACTTTGCATTCCTCAAATCTAACTACTTAGGTTCAACACCTGTGGCAACACCAGTCGATTCTATCCTAAGAAAGCATATAATGACAACCCAGTTTCTACATCCAAATCAAGCAAAACTAATCATATCGACTCAGGAGTCTTGATGGAATTGCTGAACCAGCATATACCTTAGCGCCTTCATCTGCACTGAAAGTGGTGACAAGAGTAAGGCTCAGGGATTCAAGTGATATATCATCAGGAAAACCACTCCAGACTGTGACTTGCAGTGTCCCAGGATCTCCTTCACAAAGCTCAAGGGGCGGCCCTCCCTTCGAAGTGAAGGTAATCAGAACGGAGACATCGAGAGATACAGGAGTCCTCAACCCACTGTGAGCTAGCCTTACGATTTCAGACTGCAAAGTCCGTCGCTCTTCATCTGTCAGCAAACCTCGATCCAATGATAGTAGTTTGATACATGATGAAAGATATCCGGCCCAGTCACCAAGTTGCCTTTGACAATCAGAAAGACGAGGGAGGACCTCGGCGAGCAAAGCATGCCATCGCTCCCCAGCATAAAGAGCACAAACTTTTTCATAGAGCTTGGCTGCAGAATCCAAGTTTCCACGACGGTAGTGCACTGCCGCGACCTCACCATCCAGAACAACACCATGTCTCTTCCGCCAAGAACGATGAAAGTTGTCAGCAGCAGCTCGCGTGAGCTCTAAATACAGCTCCTGCAGATTGACGAACCCGACAACGAGATTCAGAAGAAACAAGGAGATCAACACACGCTCACAACACAGTGGTCAAAAATTCAATTTCAAATCCTCGCTAGACGACGCTAGCTTCGAAGGAAGCGAAATTACTCCGGGACCTAGGTAGCTTACCTCGAACTCGGCAACAGAAGATAAGGCTTTTTGAAGACTCTCATCGCAATCTTTTGCCTTCAAAGCATCCTCCGCTGCTATTTGTATTTCGCCAAGCTTCATAGGACGATCTATTGAACCCCAACTTCCGGTTGGGCTTAGTGGTGGCACTAAAGGGCTTGCCGAACGAGCATGAGTCAAACCTGGAGTCGGAGGGCTTGGCGGTACTGACCGTGGCGAGTTTACGCTTGCACCCTCAGCAGCTAAATTGCCATTGCTAGAGGACAAGTGACTAGATTTTAGGCTACTACGACCATCTTCTCCCATGGATTCAGATCTTTTAAACCTGTCGACACACGAAATACTCCCCGTCACTTACTGGCTCAAAAGTTGTCAAAATTTACATCGAAAAGTCAAAACATTCATCTATGCGCTCGATACATATATTCAAGCGAGTATAAAAGTATGTGCAGATTTCCTAACCCTTCCTTGAAGCTGTTGCGGTTGGAATCCATCAGCTCCAGTATATTGCCCGCAGAAAGAGAAGCCCTTCGACGATTTGCTTCTCGTAGAAGTATACCAGGAGCCAAAGGAAGCTCCCGACGCATGCTATTGATCGCATCTGGCTTTTCTGTAAGAGACTGCTGACATCTTGCAGCAGATTTATTGTAAGCGCATGGGTGAATGCATTTCGGCTTACCACTTTCCATGTAGACACCATTCATAGGCTCGCTCGTACACCCTTAAGGTTGATATATTGCTCTAAATGGCTGGGAAAACCGTCATAACAATCTCGGCTGAAAAGGACACTTGCATGCTGAAAGATCACAAACACAAACACAGAATTGTGTGCCAAGCAAATTATCTTCACATACACTATGCGACGCTATACAGTTTAAAGAGACTTACTTGCTGCTTAGCAAGGATTCGAGAACCTGCATCGGCAGGAACAGGAGGCCAGACTGCTGGCTTTGGCCACGGTGACATGCTTAATGCTGCACTGCTCCGTCATTAAAAGAGAAAGTCATGTTGGTTAGCCAAACTTGCAAATACGATCATTTTAAATAGCGTACGGAATAATACGAGAAACGGACCCGGTGTTTGGTATTACGCAGATAGCATACCTGTTGCACGGACTTTTCTCTATTCTGGATCCGTACCCCACTAGGTCTGCTAGTCTCATCAGCTGCGAAAACAATATCAGAGAGGAAAATTTAAGTCAGGTGACCTAAAGTACAACCATTACAAATATTAACACGAGAACTTCAACCTGAGGTTTTTAAAGATGGAAGGATATAAATATCATCAGATATTTCATTCTTTCAACCAATTACAGACATGTAAAGGAGCTTGATGTCATGCTTTCGAAACGACCACATGAACACGACAGACTACAACAAGACAACGACAAAGAAGCGTGACCCAATGGCTTTTAGAGACAGTCCAAGTCACAAGTGCTAACTAGATTTCCTCCGTAACCACCCATCTGCCGAGGATGCAATTGCCCTAGCATCAGTTTCATAAGCGAGTAAATGAAAACTCGTGGCTAAAAAGAGGAGAAACCTTGGTACGCGCGTACAAGTACAAGTCTGCTTGCAGACGATAGAAGTCTTTTTCCACATCAGGAGTAACTGAACGGGGCGTGAAACGTTCTGCAGATGCTTTCACAACTGCCAAGCATGCTGTGAGAACCCACAGTTCACGGAGACAGAACGGCAACTTTTTCTGTCAATAGATACGATGAAAATTCAGAGTCAGAATCCATATCGGAAACACCTTCGTCTCACAGCTGATGGTATTCTCAGATTCTCAATGCAACATATTAGTTCGCAGAACAACAAATCACGACTTGGAGCATTTGATAGGTGGACTCTATCGCGGACGTTCCGTAGAAATTAGACTCAAAAGAATTACTCTTCTGTTGTTACGAGACCTACTTCATGCAGTAGAAGACTTCTGGAGAATGCCATGATGAAAGGAAAAGCCCTTGCCGCGACTTCCGCTGGCCGGTTCAGGTAGAAAAGCAGCTGCAAGACACAATACTGCTTAGTGAACAGGTACTAGCTGATGTAAAGACAATGTCTTTCCAACCTCAAATCAAAACCTCGAACTAGCAGCAAATATCCCATAGAGTCAACAGTGGTCCTATGTTAGAACAATAACATTGCAATTGAATGGTCCTCCAGTATCGAAACGACATCGAGACAGCCAAAGTGCATTCTGCAAATTCGCATCGGAGATTGTGTAATGGAGATCCTCCGGAGGAAAAACCTCGCATGCGACTTCTTAGCATAGACCCAAATATGGAGATAAAAGTACCACAGCCTGTCGGGCGAAAAGATATTGTCGGAAATCGAATTCCTTCACGGCGTCTTCCAACTGGAACTGGGCGAAAGGCTTTCGAGAAGCATCCAATATAGCTGAACGCTCATCGCCGGCATCTGTACCTCCAAATTCCCTGGCCTTCATATTTGAGGAATTCACTGCCATACACCGGCGATCACTGCAGATGAGCAGATGGGCAGTTGAAGCAACTTCAGCAGGCTAGGCAAAATGGCGAATGATGTCTTCATGATAGCTGGTACGTCATAAACTACCCCCAACCGTTAGTTCTGGCAAGGACTAACACTTCACGGTAATTATAGTCAACTCTCCACACAGCGGAGCCACTTTCTATATCAAAATGGCCTCAGTATTCTATTCAACTCCAGAGCTGATGACATGCTCATTCGCATTTGATAGACCGACTATGTGCACGTGTAAGATTTCTCTGGCTCTATCCGCCTCCATCTTTTTTCAAGGATATCATCTGCACTATCTGTTGGGACAGGCCTAATGATATGTAATTGTCTTACCAATTTCCAGATAAATTTGTTCCAATTCATCGTACTCCCGTAGTGCATCTTCAAGCAAGTGAGCCATCTCAAACATGATTGCAAGGCTTTCCTGACGAAACAGAAAAACATATGGCTGTCAGCAGGCTGATTTCAAAGCCATTAACCAAAGTTGAAAATCAAAAAACAATTTCGCCATTACAACAAAACCTCAATCTCGTAACCAAGAACAGATTACAACTGCATAGGAACTTTTGATTAAGAAAACTAGCATATGTGGCTGAGAGCATATGTCAAAGTTTACAGGAACTCGACATGGTACTCGTTGTCAGATCCCAATGCCAACTTTCAACATGAGAAGATAAGGTGCGGCAAACACATGGTAAGTGAAAGAACAAAACTTGCCCGCTTTTTAACACCAGCTGTCAAACTCTGATCAAACGCCAGCAATACTTGAATTGCCTCTAATGTAAACGGAAAGTAATCCCCAGCACACTATACTTAGTTCAGATGGACAATTACAGTGCAAGTCGCTTGCAAAAAAAATTTCTCGCATGGGCAGGTTACCTTCACAACGAAGAAGTTACAAAAATTCCAGGCTGGCATGAACCGATGTTCACTAAGTCTTCTAACTTCCTCCTCATAAAACTGGACCCGCCGGTCCAGAGTGTGTTGAATGCATACCACCACTTTGTGTTCAATGTCTTCCCATACAGTAGGATCAACAATATGTGTCTCCAACTTGCAGCATCTGCGAAGGAGTGACAAGGAGACAATGAGAATTCCAAAGATCGCCGTCACTTTCATAAACAACAGTCTTCGGTACCGGCCGTATAACAGCTAACCTGCTGATCAAATTCAGTAACGAACGCAGTGTTCGACACTATGGGTAGCCACTGGCCAGGTTAGCATAATTCTCAATGTGCTAATAACAATTGTGAAGAAACATGAAATATCTGTAGGAAAGACACCCAGAGCGTGAAGAGAACAGACACTCCATGAGAAACATAATCTTAAATAACTTTGATCAGCAGCTAAAAAATAACAGGAGGTATTCCACAAGTAAAATGTGAAGCGCAAAGATGATTCAATCCAAGCTCTTACGTCGACATATTGTTAAAAAATCGAAAGTGACTGTTTTGACAGCCTCGAACCCAAATTAAAGAGAACATTGCAGATAGCAGAATGCAGTGACAGAATTACGCGCACAGATGCAGTGTGAAAATTAAACGTGAAAAAAAAAACAATTACTCCTTTAAAAAAGGGCGTCCAACGCAGAGGAAAAGAAAATTCCAGCTAAAACCAAAAGCAGAGCATTCACATTAAGGACTCAGATCAGAAACGTGGGGAGAACGACCCAGTACATGTAAAATCGACAGTTTGAGCTCGTATGAAGAGGTCATATCTACATCCTCAATGCACTAAGCCCCAACACAGTTCAGACTTTTAGAGGATAGAATGCTACACACATTTACCACGACTTTACTACTACGCATAACTGCGCCAAGGTACCTGGGTAAGTCCAAGTAAGCATTAACTTCCTCGAGAGAAGTAAAATCAAACTGTTTCTTAGCTCAGCTGGTTACAAAATTACACAGATGTAAAATGAATCCACAGGTCTTTCTAGTAGACTCAAAATGTGGAGGCATAATACCAATCAATAAACCGTCTTGTATCATTTACCATACGGCTAGAAGTAGCTTGTCAAGTAAACATGGTATTTACCTCTCCCGCTTTTTCGAGCTGAAGTCAGCTTCAAGCCTGAGATAAACCTTCTTTGTGTGCTTGAAGTTAGGATCATTGGCTGGAGTTTTGGAGACAAAAACGATAAACCACTCACGATCTTCATTTTGCACAATTTGTTTCAAGCGTGGTTTCAGTAGTTGCTTGTATTCGTCTAGATCCTGTGGGAAAAAGAGACAGGAAAACACAATTGGGTAAGAAGACAAGTGCGGAAAGATTTTTTTTCATCAACCCAGGAACAGAATTGTTCTAGAAAGAGCAAACTACCACGAATAAGCACAAAGGGTGAATGACCTTCACACCTAGCACCGGCACAATTTTTCATTCATAACGTCGACCTAACAAGGCCTCTAAATATTTTATCCTGCATAGAAGCCGATTCGCTGAAAGAACAACGCCAACATTCATGGTTCACATACCTCACAAGCGACAAGAACTACAGATGCATACGGGTGGCGAAACCAGAAAGGGGACTGCTCCAGTGGAGTGCGACCCCGGAGACGAGCATCTGTAGTAAGAATGTATTCGACAGGAAGCTTCTCTACCAACACTGGATTTCGTGCTTTGTTGTTCAAAATAACTCTTCTGAAAGGAACGCGCGCCTCAAAATTCTCCCTTACGACTGGCCACAAGTCACTCACATCTTCAACTGCACACGAAACACAAAAAAATCAGAAAAATCTGACTGCATGAAGATTACTTCTACTGAACGCAACTTTCACACTCAATATTCAGGAACAAAGGTAAACAAAATCCTCAATGTTGGGAACATTCAAGGCTTTCACAGAAAAATGTTCGCCTGCAATAACATACGACATTGCTTTTCCGAAAGAGGAGATCCGAGTCCTAGACGCCCTTTAATCCCGTTACTAAAATTAAATGACTTCGTCTCTAAAGAAACCAGACGAGTGGATATGCAGATGACACAGGAACATCGTGACTTTCATTGCTGGATGTGAGGTCCAACAGCTCCAGACGGAAACACTTACAATACATTAGATACTAAGGAACCCCAAGGCGTGAGTAGCAGGCGACTGAAACCAAAATTCAAGCCACGTAAGGCGTGAGAGCGCAACACCCCATTATTCCTGTCATTACGTGAGAACCATGGGATAATCTTCCTCTACAAATTTCATCTCAAAGGGAAATTACTCGTGAACCAGCTCTTTCCTACACTATCAGTCTAGCTTCCTAAAATGCCTGAAGGTAATATCCTTCAGACCTCATATTTGAGCAGAACAATTCACTACGATTGTGAGAAATTTCGCCCAGAAAGTTCCAGTCTCCGAAGGAACAGGTGCCTAGCCCTCTGCAGGATAATATCTACTGGGTGAGACGCAGCCAATTCATCCAAGAGGTGATGTTTTCGCGATCGCGTCTGCTTGAGGTGCATAACCCCGTTGCAAATATCACATGTGCAACGAAGTTATGCAGCTCAAGCAGAAGCGCCCCGTAACCATGAAAAAAGCTACATTCATCGAAATCGCCATCACATACGTAATCCGCGACTGATGGGGGATCAAATCCGAGGGGGAACCCAAGTTGAGCAGAGCTGAACTACATACCCGACCAGGAATTGAGCTAATGGGCTGGCCAAGACAACTGTAACACCCGGCTCGAAGTCCGAAGGCGATCTGACGAAAGGGGGCAGAAAACCAGCTCTTCAGCTGACATAGACCACGTACATTACGTTCCTACAGCCTCGAAAACAATGCAGATACAAGCGCCACAGCGATGAATTCACTTAATTCTCGACAGCATTGACGAGGCTGCCTGGTGATAATGTCTCATCTAAGCAAACTACGTAATTCCAATTAATGACACCCCGCGGTCCACATGGAGCTAGCACACAGGCATTCTACTCCTCTCAACACATCAACGAAAATCGGCAGGGAAGGAGGTGCCCAGCTCGGTCCAATCGGAATATGAATGTATTTAGACAATGATAACTAGTGAATTATGCATCCTCCGCATTGAAGCGCTGACAAAGAGTACTGGGTACGGGCCACATACTCGCGACAACGAGGCGATCCGAGGCACTTTTCATCATCTGAAATTGAGACAGAGAGCTCGCCATGTCGTCTGCCTCAAATTTGACGACTGCTCCATGTCTACAAGCGCACCACCCTCCTCCTCTCCCTCTTCCTCTTCATCCTCGAAATTCGTGCTCGTTCCGGGCTCCTAAGCATATAGGCTGTATTCAAAAGTTTTCTCGTCAGACACTCCACCACTCCGAGTCCGCAGAATCTCCGATCGATTCGGTCCTGGCTCGTTCCCCGACGTTTCTGTCCCGCACTCTACTCCCCTCCCTCCTTGGCTCCACTGTTGGGCACTCTCACTCTCTGCACTACGAGAAATCACGAGGAAACGAAACCCTAAAATCCGGAGGTCTTCCCATTTGAAAGGGACAGGCCTGCCAAAACGTACGTCCGTGGTGCCGTATCTCGCTTTACAATGACGGCACTCTTTTTCTCTCCTCCCAACTCCCCCACCTGTCCTTACCCGCTCCTCCTCGTTCTCCGCCTTTTGCATCCTGGACCTGCTTCCCCTCATCGGATGTCCACAGTATAATTCATGTGTTCATTTGGTTTAGTGCCTTAAATCGCTCCGAGCTCCATTATTCCATTATTTTATTCTGGTCCAATTTACAGACTTTTCTCCGCACAGTGGTTTTACTACGCCAGACGTGTGAGCCCGATCTGCCAGGTGATGCCTCGAGTACGTTCTTCTGCGCGTCTCCCTCCAGGATTTTGCGTCTGGAGTGTGATAATGTTCATGAATGATGGAAGAGGTATATTTTAACAGTTGCCAACTTCACGCCGGATGTCCATTCGCGAATAACTCTTAGATCATTAAAAAAACATTAGGAGGTGTATAGCTAACTCATGGATCCCTGCGAAAATGCCATAAAACAACTCTACGGATAAGTGGTATCAAGTATGAAGATATTTGGATAAACAGAACAAAACATACAACTAACCCACAAATTAAATATGGAGCACATCACTGTACAATTTTATATTCCGAAATTGACTATCGTTATCTCAAAAATATGAAGAAAATACAATAAAACATATAAATATAGTATTCATCAACGAAAACTGGTTGTAAACGATACATCAGTATCGAAGATTCTATCACGATATGTAAGGACATAATTATAATGTACCTAAATTACACCATAATTATTTTGAAGACAATATATTGCTTTTAATTTAATTTTTTTAAACTAAAAAAAATCCATACTTCATTTTTGTATTCATCCCACACACAAAAAATCTGAAATGCTTAGTGGGAATTTCAGAACAGAAGACGTTTTCATTGTCAATAAAAAAGCATCACTAAACTAAACCGTTGAAATAGAAAACAATGCCGATAATTGAATACTTAAGTTTAGCGTTAACGCTGACTATGCTAGTAAATTCATTCCACCGAAAAAACTTATGAAATTTTCACATTTTGACTTCTTCGTCAATCAAGCACGAAACTGTATAGTTTTATAAAGCATGAATACGATACACTGATTCCAACATTTCTAAATATGTTTCTTTTATACAAAACGGAATTCAAGGAATTGATTTATAAATTCCTTGAAATTGAATACTTTATCATCAAAATTATCTATTTATTTATTAAAACTTGCTAGATGGGGCGTTGAATGATTTGGCTAAAATACGATGATATTGAAAACAAAATATTCTTTTCTTCTGCATGATAAATATTTGTTTAAAAAATGCTATACATATATATCAATCAATTTATAAATTATAATAAACGTTATCATTGTGTGTGTCATATATATTATATTATTTACAAACGAGCACTGAAAGTAATTGGCGTAAAATTCATACTTTGAGAGTAGTTTAGATTGTCAATAAATCATGATTGCTTCAGTTAATAGAAATGAAAATTTTCTAATGTTGACAATATTCAATTTTTTTGAAGTGTGATTTTTTTAATATCGTAGAATCAAAACTCATTTTGAAATCAGTTCTAAGTTTTTATGTTTATAAGTACTCTAAAGTCTATCCTCATGATTTGTGATTAGAAAATTTGAATTAGTTTTCAAATTACCAGAAATTTTACTTTGAAAAGTATTTTTTAATTTTATGTGATCGAATAAAAAAACGAAAAGACCAATTAGATCTCCATCTTCAAAATATATTGGAATGTTTTATGAAAAGTAAAAAAACTGATCACTTATGATCCAAAAGTGTAGTTTATAAGGTTTTGTTTCTCAAATGAAACTAAAATCAATATCAGTTTGATTAGTTTTTCAATATACATATATATATATATATATATATATATACATGCAATAACTTGTCTGAATTGATAATCAAAATTTACATGATATACTTAAATAAAGATTAAACTATCATGAAAAAAGAGGATATAGTCTAGCAATTCATCATTGAAAACCAAGACTATATGAAAGTTAAACATGTGAAATTAATTATACACAAAAAGTTAAATTTATTTTTAAACCAAATGATTTTATATTACAATAAAATTATTTTTAAATTTTATATTAAATTTAATAATAATAATTTAATGCACTTTTTATAAATGTAAAATAGTTATTATTTCGATCAATTCTTTAAACCTCAAATAGAATAGTCAATACAATCTCAGATAATCAAATTCGCTAAACAATGTTTTGTTTTAATGTTTATTAATTTTGAATTTTTCTTGATAAATTTATATATTTACACAATATTTAGTTTTATTTCTTACTTAATATTTTTACCCAAATCTATTTTACGAAACTTACGAAAAAAATTAATCTTTTTGTCCTGGAATATGATCAATTTATGACATAACTTAAATTATACTCGTTTTGAAATTTTAAATAAACATTAATGTTACAAAAACTGCAAACAAAATCTTAATTTTTTGTACAATAATTAGAGGCTATAATGTACAATGAATTTCATCACATCACATAATGTACATTCTCTTTAAATAGAGCAGATAATTGCATAAAAATAGTTCATAAAATTTAATTTCATCTTGCATGTTCAAATTTTAGTTTTTACATGTAATTATTTTATATTATTAGAAACAAACTTTGTTAGTAGAAAAAGATATTTCAGAGATACAAAGCTTAAATTTTGTGTCATATTTAAAAAACACTCAAAATCATAGGTATGCGTGATTAATAAATAATTATTGAATGAGTTATTGATGATTTGTTCACATAAAATATAATTTATATTTAAAATATTTTTTGAAACAAATGAAATAATAAAAGATCATATGAGATTTATTTTGACAATCAAAATCAAATAAATTTCAAATGATAGAATTTATATAAATTTTAATCATGTTAAACAATAACATCATAACCTTATAAATAAAAGTGTTTATGTGAATTTTATTCAGTATTTTATGTAATTTTGAAATCAATACACAAAATTGCATTGATGGATTAATTTGATTAAATTGCCTTTTATTCCTCTTATAATGAATAAATACGTGTATTAAATGAAGAAATATAATTTCATTCATCTATTATGATATATATACTATGATGTGAAAGTTTTTATACCTATGTTCATAACCTTGTAGAAATAGATCGGCTAGTGTCAAACACTGTAGTTGTTGTTTTTAGAGCCGGAAATTTTTTGTTGTGTTTTATGAGGTAATTTTGAACATTTTAGGTTTTGTATTTTATCACATCTCAAGTCTAGTTACTATGGACATAGGTTGGCTAATATCTAGCATTGTAGTTTTTGTTTTTAGAGCCGAGAAAGAAAAATCGTACTGTTTCACGAGCTAGTGTGGAACATTTTAGGTTTTATTTTGGTCAAATCTAATACTGTATCAAGTTACCATGGACATATATTGGATAGTGCCTAATACTGTAGTTTTTTATTTTATAGCCGAGAAAAAGAAACCATCGTGTCTCACGAGCTAGTGTGGAACATTTTAGGTTTTGTTTTTGTCAAATCTTAGGTCTAGATACCAGGAACCCACATTGTCTAGTGTCTAACATTGTAGATTTTGTGTTTGGAGATGAGAAAGGAAAACCATGAATTTTCACTAGAAAAAACGGGTTTATTCTTGCAACCGCTGCATCCACGATTTTACTGGTGCTCGTTGCGCCAGTGGAGTGCGTGATATAGGGTGAGTTTCATGTGGTGAATGTTACATGTGAAAACAATTTTTGACCTTGCACCGTGCTGTTGCTAAGCAAAGACTGCGCTAAATTTCCATTTTTTGTTTGTGTCGATCAAAATTTGGCAGCGACAAAGAGTGCAAGTCTAACACTATCTTGGTATGTTGTCATGGCAATGCAGAGTTCCAGTGAAACCGATGCCTCGTCGCTCGAGATTGGAAAATCAAATCAAATTTTGAAAACAAATCATTTTACAACAAATCCAAGTGTGTGTAAAGATACAATTTTTTAACCCAATTGAAAACAAATTGATTATACATTTGATTATAAGTTAACTTATATATTTGCAATCAGATCTTTTTACTATAAAAATATATAATTATTTTCAGAATAAAATATTATTGATACATGTTTTGATAATAGACCAAGCTTGACTTTAATTTGTTGATTGAGTCGGTTTGAAAATTATATGTTCCTTTCAGTTCTATATATTATACAAAATATAAAAGTGATTTAGATTTGAAATATATATACAAATTGTATAACTTATACATCATCTCTTTCCTGAATATGTAATATTAAATATTACATGTTCATCGAATAATGAACATATGAGATGTATCCATGTTGTGTGACGTAGCAAACTAAATGGTTCAATATCTAAATCATTTCAAGTTGTGATTTGAAATTTGATACAAAGTATCTATTCATGCAAATGCATAAGTGTCTGCTTTTTATCTAAACATAATATTTGTTTATGAAAATTGAAAAAAAATGTATTTTTTATTTTTGCACGTGAGTGTATAGAGTTGTATAGTTTATATTTTAAACAGAAGAATCATGTGTGATGAGTATGCTATAAAATGAAACATTTGATTTCATGTAAGAACTTTTTCATGAAGGTTATATAAAGCAATGTAGAGTGTGTTTCACATTATGTTCAGAAAGAATTAATCATTATGAGATGTGGGAATCATTGCTCTTGTGTTTCGTGTTTTTACGTTGTTAGTGTTTAATAGCGAGCTTTATCTTGTGAGTACATATACACCTATATCCAAGATGACTCTTTCAAATATTTGATTCTTTCAAAGGACTTTCGAATCAATATATTCACTTGTGCACCACAAAGGTATGTGAATGTAATCTACGTTGCTTCTTATAAAACATAAACCAGTATAAACAAGATGGTAAATCGTGTACATGAAATATAAGTTGTACTCTTATATTTGACCTTATATGATATTTGACGAGTTTTATATAGTTAATTTTTTTTATTATTATATCCAACACTTATGTAATGAATATTCACTTACGTAGATATTGGATGTAACTTTTTTGGTGTATATTTCTTGCAATATTGATTATTGACATCTCTGATGAAAGAAAATATTGTAATTAAAAATAATAAACTGATAGATAACAAAATTTAAGATTTACAAACTATTTTAAGAAAGCAGCAAATTACTGTAGTAATATATACACTATTTTACATGTTTTACAAGAGCCGAGGAGTCTTTAACTGGAAGATTAAAGAAAGCCACTCGGTCAAGACAAATAGAGAGACTTTATAATTGTTTTGATATTTTTACTATTTGATTGAGCTTCGAAAAGTTGTAGTAAATGATTTCTGGATTTCATGAAAGAACACAATTTGTGTTGGTGTTGTTTTCGTAAATAATAGATAGTGGAGAGTTGTGGTGATTTGGTTGATTGCATTGCATGAAAAAATACATGTAGTCATGAGAAATAAAGTAAATAACGTAACATATGTTATTTGACTCTTATCATTATAAATCATTCTATCTGTCCAACTTCATGGTGAAGTTTTTCAACGTAAAGAGGATCAAAGTTATTCGTTGTTTATGCCAACACCATAACATGAACTGTAAAAATCATTTAAATTGAGATACCAAACGTAACCGCGTTACACCACATGTCCAGAATTGTTGCCAGTGTTGTAAACAATGTACGGAACAATGTCATGACATACTTCAGCATCCGAAACGGAATTTTTCCAATTTGCAATAGACTTAGATCTTTATTCCGCAAAGATATGTTCTTTGTTCAACTTTGCCAAATGGTAAAATGTGAGATATGGAAGTCGTGGGCCAACATTATTTGATAATTCAAATATTTCATAAATTCCAGAATTGATTTTTGGATGCAACTAGAGATGAAGCTATCATGTAGTTTGGATTCCAGTCTTTCATCAAACTATAATCTCATGAAGATTGAGAGAATATACGAGTTGTTCAAAGAGATAATATGATTAAGAGCCAATGTTCACTAAACATTGAAATAAAATGTGTATAATGTTTTTCAAATTTATTTATAGAAGTCGGTGCTTGTTGATCAGAGCATATAGAAGATCCGGCACTTAGAAGTCAGTCTACCATTTCAAGCTTGGCGTCCAAGCAATGTTCAGACTCATAATGAAATCCGGCAGAGGCCGTCCGGAAATCGAGCCAACCGGAAGTGGTGATTTCACGACTTTCCGTCTCGGAGGGCGACTGAGCGACGGAAAGCGATGACAGTGAGCCTTGTAAGAGGAGGCAAGTCCAGGAAGAAGAGAGCGGGGAGTGATCGCAGGAGGCTGAAATTTCAGAGCATAGGTTTGTGGAGCGCGCAGAAATTTTCAAGTCGAACGAAGACCTTCGTTTCAAATTGAACTAGCAACACAGCAATCATGCCTGTAGATATCGAGGACGATCTGCTGAAGGAGAAGAACCCCCCTCCTCTCGATGAAGACGACATCGCCCTTCTTAAAACTTACGTACGTTTCGAGAGCAGGGATTGTATTTGTTATGCTCGTCGTCTTTCCATTTCGAATTCTAGAGGCTTGCTTGGACTTGCGGGAAGCTGGGATTCGCTAGATTCTGTGAGCTTTTGCTGATGTGTGTTTGTAATGCAAATTGTCTGTGGATCCGTCGCCCTAAGTTGGAAGTGTATCCTGTTTCGATCAGGGATTGGGGCCGTATGCCGCTCCAATCAAGAAGGCCGAGAAGGACATTAAGGATATGGCGAAGAAAGTGAATGATCTATGCGGTAATCCATTTGAGCACACACTGATCCCGTGGCGAGACCTTTAGAATTTTGTCTGATGTATTGCCGCTAGTTTTGTCATCGTCTATCAAAGAACTTTTTCCACTTGATGTGACTCCTTTGCCCATGAATTTAGCTTTTCAACCTGACCTTAGCCAGGCCCCCCGTGATTTCGATAAGATTATACTTTTAAGAAATTTTCTGAAGCAGATTTTTTTCTGGGGAATCGATGTCACTGTTAGCTTCACCGTCGCTGATTCTGATCAAGCTGGTGGCCGGGCTTCTCTTACAGGTATCAAAGAGTCGGACACTGGACTTGCCGCTCCTAGTCAGTGGGACCTCGTCTCCGACAAGCAGATGATGCAGGAGGAGCAACCCTTGCAGGTGAGAGCAATTTTTTTGTAAACCTTTTCGTATTTTTTTCTTTCTCGTTTTATTTTGTTTCCCGCATCGAAGTACTACGCATTGCCTACGCATGTTTGCCTTGAGTTGTGGTGCCTTCTAGGACTACAATTCAATGCCTCCTGAGCTCGAAAGTAGTCCGCTATTGGAACCCTAAATTAGTATCACAAGACATCCGTTGCACACAATTTTTAAATGGTTTTTAAAGAATCATGGTAGACTGAAGGTGTTGGTGTGAAAATTTTCGTAATTTTGTTTTGTATGCTTCCACTAGAAGTTGAAGTCGTCCGCACTGCCTGCACGACCTTTCCTCGTTTTAACGTGCTGTCTCTTTTTATTGGTGCTTTTTTTCGTCAGTGTGTTTTTATGTGATGTAGAAGTTTGTTCCTACTATTCCGCAGTGAAAGGTCTCTCAGTTTGTATTGTACGCCGACAATGGGTCGAAGTTCAATTCCAGTCTCTTATCTTGCATCCAGTCGCCAGACTTGCTCTTTTGGCTTATTTTTTTAGGGTTTAGCATTAGTACTCCATCGTCTCTTAGCAGGACTTTATTTTATTATGACTGATTGAAATGCCATCGCATCCCATCTTCTGGCTGTCAACGAGATATGGTTCTGTACACATTGTAACCTTGGCTTTGCGCTGTACACATGAATCTAAAAGAAATCATGACGTTTTTGTTTTTTTCTGTAGGTGGCGAGATGTACGAAGATTATTAACCCTGGCGCGGACGATTCGAAGTACGTGATCAACGTAAAACAAATTGCCAAGGTGAGTGGGAACCTAGCGGTGTAGCTGGTTGCAGTCTCTTGATTACTCAATTTCTTACATGGTTATCAGAAGCTTTGAAGTTACAGTAAGCGTGTTCATGGAATTTTTGTTAGGCAACATCTCACCCTGAATATATCTAACAACTGGATATTTTCTTTTCAGTTCGTCGTTGGACTTGGTGAGAAAGTGTCCCCCACGGATATAGAAGAGGGCATGAGAGTTGGGTAAGCATAATTCTGATTTCGGCATCGTTTTGGCAGCTCCATGGCACCTTTTTTTTCTCTTCCGTGTTTCAGAACTGTAATCATCACTGCTGTTATCGTATACCCATACTGTGTGATATGAAGTTTGATTCCTTGTAGCCTTTTTTTGGATGAGGTTGTACGGAATGTTCAGTGGCTCAATACATCTTCTGACAGTATGTTTTGACAACTATCCGCAGGGTCGATAGGAATAAATATCAGATACAAATTCCCTTGCCACCTAAGATTGATCCTAGTGTCACTATGATGACTGTTGAAGAAAAACCAGACGTCACATACAACGATATCGGTGGTTGCAAAGAGCAGATTGAGAAGATGCGAGAGGTAAATGTCTACTTTCAGTGAAATCTCTGAACACAATGTAATGCAGTCTGTGGGAACATGTTTTCTTGTTTTGAAGTCAACAAAATAAACAGTCAGCCTGTCCTGTCCAAGATTAGGCCAGTTTTTTTGTACTTATTTTAGGCTTCTGTTTTCGTGATCCTCACTTGATCCATTCTTTTCTTGTTTTTGCGCGCTTCAAACAGGTCGTGGAACTACCCATGTTACACCCAGAGAAGTTCGTCAAGCTTGGTATTGACCCGCCTAAGGGAGTGCTATGCTACGGGCCTCCCGGTACTGGTAAAACTCTATTGGCCCGAGCTGTTGCCAATCGGACTGATGCCTGCTTCATCAGGGTTATTGGAAGTGAACTGGTCCAGAAATACGTTGGTGAGGGCGCTCGGATGGTCCGTGAACTTTTCCAGGTACGCTGCGTGGTTTCAGAAGTTTAGATGGTATGCTTACGGGAAAGCTTACGTCTTATTGCTTGTCAAGACTTGTAAGTGTAAAACTCTAACGGCTTGTTTCTTATTGTTTGTGGAGCAGATGGCAAGATCAAAGAAGGCGTGTATTGTTTTCTTTGATGAAGTAGATGCTATCGGAGGGGCTCGTTTTGATGACGGCTTGGGTGGAGATAATGAAGTTCAACGAACTATGCTTGAGATAGTCAACCAGCTGGATGGTTTTGATGCTCGTGGAAATATCAAAGTCTTGATGGCAACGAATAGGTAACATCAGACAACATGCAATCATATGAAAATAATCTTTCAATGAACTCGGGTTTGGTGTATATCGATTTCTTGCTCATACAGACCTGAGTTGGAATATTTGATAAACAGAACCTAAACAATCAAGCTTGTGTTGCCGTTTGGTTCGATGTATCGACATGAATATGTGTAATTCATGCATATAACCCATGAGTGGTTTGGTTTCAGACCGGATACCCTCGATCCTGCACTACTGCGTCCAGGACGTCTCGACAGGAAGGTAGAATTTGGTCTTCCAGACCTGGAAAGTAGAACTCAAATTTTCAAGATCCACACTCGCACGATGAATTGCGAAAGAGATATACGATTTGAACTTTTGGCCCGACTTTGTCCCAACTCTACAGGTATGTCTTGAGTCTCTCGCCTTTCCCTGGGCTAATTTTGGTGACGAAACATCTGCTGTGTTACTTTTACCATCATATTCTTGGCTGGCTTGCAGTGGAGGCCTTTCTGTTACGTTCACGCAGTAGATTTATGTCTTGTAGATTTTTCGACAAGATCTTTATCTGTTTTGAGTAGTTTGTTATCTCACTGCAAATCTCATATCTTGTGGTTAGTTGTGGGTGGTCTTTCCTCGTGTTTTTCTCTAGCGCATGTCGTTTTACTTTCTCTGTACTCTACCCTGATTTAGTGCCTTAGTGAACTCGAATGGCCTAGTATATTGAGTTCAGGGCGGGCTCAAGCGTTGTTCCACATGATGTCCACGACTGCATATATTTGCATGGGTCTTTCTTTATTTGTTTGTCCAACTTCTTGTCCTTGTCCATGTCACCGGGAATGACTGAAATCGAATGATTTATACGATGGGGCCCAAGTTGAGTCATTCGTGACAGGTGTTGTGTATTTAATGTTAAGCTGCGTTGGGTATGTTTACATGTGCTGTTTTTGAAGAAAGCTTGTTTCCCGCAGCTTTCGTCACAGTTATGAACTGAAACGAGTATTTGGAGGCTAGTTTGACCATTAGTAATGAGAGAAGTAGCGACGTGAAGTCTCAAGAATCCAAGCTGATTCACCTTGAAATGTTGCAGGTGCCGATATCAGGAGTGTTTGCACAGAAGCCGGCATGTATGCTATTCGGGCGAGGAGGAAAACTGTTACGGAGAAAGATTTCCTAGAAGCTGTAAACAAAGTTATCAAGGGTTACCAGAAGTTCAGTGCAACACCCAAGTACATGGTCTACAACTAGGATATTAGTAGATCATTTTGGTGGAACAGATGCCGATTACCTTGTACCTTTTTGCAATAAGAAACTCTTCATTTTTGTACATTACAGATTTGTCATCCGGGCAGTGGAATGAGCTTTATATAAGTATTGCTGGCAAGCTCAATGCTGAGCTTCCTGTATGAAGGCTGCAGTCTCACGAGGACATGTAGTGCGTCTTTTGTTTCATCCATACACCGGCATTAAAGTTGTAGAGTGCACCCAGTGGGGTGGTGATCATCTGATTTAATGTCTAGTACCCCGAAGCAGTTGAAGTCAACACCCTCGGACAACCGTTCCTTTTAAGGCAAGGTCAGGATCCATGCGTCTGTTGTACGATTTGTGATGTAGCCATGCCCAGCCCAACCAAGTTTTTATTCACCGATCGGCAGAAAAATCGTGTGGAGGTTTGTAACTCGAAGGTTGGTGTCGTACTTGGGCACATAAAGCGGCAACAATCACAGCTGGCGGTTGAAGAGTAAAATGTATGTCATATTGCTTGACTTTTATCTTGCTCGCAAGGATGTACTCGATATTTAGAGTCTCAACCCGGTTACCGACTGGGTTGTAGGGGACGGTAAGATGAAGTCTAAAGAATATACGGGGAACGCACCGGTGCATCCTGCCTCATCGTGGATTCCATCCATGGCAGCAGAGGATTTAGAACGATCTGTTGAGACCTGTGGAGTGTGTTAAACCGCTGTAGAAGCCATGAGAAAAAGTACGCACAATGACTATCGTTTTACAAGCGTTATCTTGTTCAGGCTGTAGCTTTTCATTGTCTGTCTATGTCACATCATTGGCATTGTCAAGGACAAGGACGACAGCCGTTCTCTTTAGGTAGGTAAGGTTCCCATCCCTAGGACCTTGCTTCAGTACTTGTAATTGTACTGTATTGCCAGCCAACTGTAGCCGGGCAGCCATATTATGAGTTGTACTTTGAAATCAGTGTGTTGCCCTAACCCACAGCAAGGAACAACTCGCGATGACCCGTAGAAACTGTCTTCCGGTGTAGGGACTTCAGTACCTCGGTTATCGCGCTGGCGACTTATAACGAACGAAGATTTTGTGAAAAGACCTTTTGTTTCTGGAGGTCAGAAGTGGTGTTTCCGCTTTTGAAATGCATCTAATGTTCTTGTTCTCTAAACCAGATGCGTGAATTATGACTGAGGTTGTTATGGGCTTGCATATTGGGAAAGAATTCATTTAAGACAACTATAAGAGGCAACAACAGAACACTCGTATGGTAAAGTTGCTTGTAAGTTTCTGTTTTGGGGAATCCTCTTCAAGATAGAAAAGTGATATATTCTTTCATCTTTTGGTATGACTAGCGTCTTGGAATAGCATGCGGGCTCCTTGTGGCAAAGGTCAACGACCTTCGTTGCAATCGTCAGGGCAGAGCCGCAACCTTTTGTCTAGACGAACGGCAGTTCTCCTTTCCTCCTCTGCATGTGTCACAGCGGTTTTGTCTATTCGTCGTTTCTGAGAGAAGAACTTATTTGGGATCAGGAGCTGTGGCACAGTTGTATCGTCTCAAATTATACTCACAGAATTGACCATGGTTAAATATAAACTTGAGCTTCTTTTCGATGGCGATTTTTTCCCTGAAAATAAGAAGAATTCGTAATGTGGAAAGAATATCATTCTACGGATCATACGTACAATTTCAGGTATTTAGTACGACATCCTCACTTTTGGGTATCAGTGTGCAGAAAATATTCGGCTCTTGCTGGTGCAATCAACGAGTATTATGAATGGAAACCAATGGACAGTTGGAAAGGCATTTTCAATGCTTTACATATCTGGCACACTCTGATATGTTTTTCACATGCTAGCAAACAGGCCTCGTACGGTTGCATGTGTATTGGGATCTTGATTCAAATAAATATACACACAAATGTATATAGATATTCTGAGTCTGCGAGAACTACTTTTAAACGTGAGGATTGTAACTGAGATGTAAGTGAAATATTCAATGTCGGAGCTAGCGATATGACATGTAAAGTTCACAACCAGGACAGACAAGGATTTATTCATATCTTTCATCGCTCGTTCGTTTGCCAGTAGGACTCAATGAAAATTCGTAACCTTCATCAAATTTCTCACAAACTGGACAAGACCACAACAAAGCCAACCAGATGAGCTTCACTGTACGTTATCAACTCAGTTCATGTGCTTCACGGGATTGGGAACCTACGCAGCCGAGTCTGGCCTTCGAGAACGGTGCTCTGATAGTCGCAGAAGGAGGAAAGGAGGAAGACCATGAGGCTAGTCTGCACATCGTGGTCATCAGGACTTCCGATAGAGCGTTCACTCGACTTCTTCACCATGCCTGCCCAAGTTGACTGAACTGGTAAAAGAGCCATATCTGACTGCAAAGGTTAGCGAGACCGACACTGCGGCAGTAGGTGCACAAAGGAACTGGAATCGGTCTGAGGGACGGGATTAAGCTACGATTAAGTCAGCCAACTGTACTTTAGGGCTAAGCTCAAATCGTCCTTAACCGCAAATCTCCCGACGATGTGACGGACGCCCTATGGAGATCTTCGACCGCGTAGGGCACGGGTCCAGACCACACTCCTGTATAGGACAGTGTTGTACTGTGGGAGGCGACCTGGTGCTTCTGTTCCCCTTCTGCTGGCTCGCTGGTGATTCGGCTCCGCTTGTGCTCTGCTAGCACTCCATTCTAACATGTGGCAATTCCTCACTTCAGGATTGGCAAGTTATAGTCCGGTCAGCCACTAGCAGTCCACACGAAGTCGCTGGTTGTTGTGCCACCACCTGGCGATCTGGTTCTAGCCTTCTCTACGTGTTGCAACTCCTCGATGTTGCAGTGTGGCCCTGTTTTTTCTGACAGATGCATTTAGTATTCAATGAGAAAGGTAGTCGACTTTCGACTCCAGCCTACGTATTACTGTTGCCATTACTTGGTGTTTCTAAGCATTATCATAGAGACATCTGTCTCGGGCTCTAGGTGGAGTCTTTCGCCCTCCTTGGCATGCCCACGTGTCGAGACCTTTTGGATATTATGCGGTGCAATTGAAGGCCCTCGCTCGACCGAGGTGGAACTGAAGAGTGCGATGACCAAGTTTGTATTGTTTCTATCCAAAAAGTGAAAATGGTTTATCGAGATTTCCGTTTCGCTGGAGTTCCTTGAAACAACATGGACATCTCCAGTTCGATTACAACGACGGTCTAAAGCTATTGCATGTCCCACTTTTTAGTCTTATGTCTTCTTTGCAAAAGTATTGCAGATCTCTCTCTTTGATTAGTGAATCCCACAGCCTATCTCGACAGAAACTGCCGCAGACTCCTACGCGAAAGGCAAACAAGCTTGAGCAACATAGATTGGGCAGAGGGAAAAAGAAAAAAGCACACTCCTCAAGAATCAAGGATGTTCATGAGCATAGATTTTGAAGATGAATGCTCAGTTGCAGGTGTGATATGTATAAGGCTCGAGTAGTTCCAAAATTGAGCTTGATCTTCTCGTCATACCGTACTTTTGTATTTTCAGACCTTTCTCCCCGTTTCACTCGCCCTCGTAGGACTGACACCCTAGAATATGGGCTTCTGACCTCAGGCCTATTTCTCTCAAAAGCGATATGCTTCCATGCGTCCTTGGGTCGTTTGTCTATCTCCAGTACCCGGTGGTTGATGTGATCCTGTACAGCAAGATCTGAGCGGGTCCGATTCTGAAGACCTAATTGCAGTGACTCTAAGCATCTACTGTGAAATCACAGCATAGTGTGCAGTCAAAGTGAGCGCGTGCGCTCTGGACTTGCCAGGAGTTTATTATCCCACTGCAGTGGCCCTGCGATCGCCTCATGTACTGTACTACTAATCTACAAAAGTTTCTATTGACGTTCATACAATTCATTCAAGATTGAGTACCGTGTTTCATAGTATAAATCTAAATTTTTATTTCTTTTGATCAAAAGTTACATGTGCTCGACCATGCACTAGCGTAAATTATTAACATAGCTCTTCGACACTAAAACATTCAAAAATTCATCTGTTAACTTGGCTCTTCCTGTACAAAACTTGGGTTTGTTTCTGAGATTTTCTCTACTGCACCAGAAAATATAATAATAAATGTATTAGCAAATATTATGGAAACGTGAAGATTTCAATATTATGCTACAGTATTGCATGGGAGAGTGACAATGAGAGTATATTATTAACGATAAAGTTCAATTCATTTCCATCAGAAGTTTTTAATGACTATCGTGAAACACTCTGAGGGGACGTCCCGTCTAATGGAGTCATATGTTATCGAAGGATTGGATACCTACCGCAGTCGTCCTTAACAAACCAAGAGAAAGTCAGTGCAGTCACTTTTTGTTAACTTTCGACCGTTTTTTGATCATAATTTGTTTTGCAAAGTATCAAGATGTCAACCATATCCCTCTCAGACAGAGTTGTGCCTGCGCAAAGTGGTGATGAGGATGAACCTGTGTTTTGGCATGAAATATAATTGAACGACTTCCCAGTCATCAAAGTATATTAGGTCATGATGTTATGCGATAGTAGTATTTTAGTTTTCGAACCTATCCAGTCAAACAACAGCAGGCAGTTGATGCTCAACAGTAAGTAATCCATCACAAGATGACATCTAACTATCCCTGTTTGGTCTTAAAGGGGGCCAAGTGGATAGCAAAAAAGATGGGAATACCCATCAAGCGGAATATGGGAATAAGTTTACAAATGCTCGTTGGATGTATCTAGCATTCCTTGCCATGGTTCGTGCAGAAGTTTTAAAGTCGGGCCTACTTATGTTCACTTGCAATGTTACACTATTGTCATAAGAAGGGTCGTGGGCACTTGCACACCAATCGACTGCCCTCCTTAACTCAGCGTCAAGGGAAAAAATGTAAGAAAGTTTGTTCATTCAATAACTGAAAAGAGCTGCCTAAAGTAGCGGACTCCTACCAAAATTTTGACGGACTTGATTTGCTTACTGTGGTTCACTTGTGCAAGTTCGTGGACTACAAGAAGAACTTCGTAGCCATTGATTGTCTATCAAGTTTTGTCTCTCGGTCAATTGTCTACTGCGCTTCTAGTTGAGGAAAGTCTGGAAAGTCTGAATCTAGAAATGATAGCCGCAGTTCCCTTAACAAGTCCCATATGTGGGTTCTTGAGGTAGAAAAGTCCTAAAGTAGATAGGCAGCTCATGACCTGCAAGAGATGATTCTATAAATAAGTCTTTATCGGGAGCTGAAGGTAAAGTTGA